ACTTTCTTGCTTGGGCTGGCTTTGACTCACGATCCTCAGATCTCAGTCTCTTAAGTAGCTAGGATTATAGGTGTGAGCCACCAGCATTGGGCAAGAATAACCAATCAGAGACTAGACTAGGCTACATACTAAGATTCAATCTCAAAAGAAAAAGAAAAAGGAAAGGAAAGAAGTGTAATGCCAACAAAAATTTTAGTGGTCATTCAGGCATCTCCAAGAATACGACGTAATATAAAATATTCTTAGCCCACAGCTACTAAAGTTAAACCCTCAGACTGGCTATTTTCTGGTAACTTCCAAGGGCCCCTCCCTCTCCTTCAGGGCCTCCACTCTTCCCTATCCTACAGCCACACCTTTACCTCCTTCCACAGCCTGCCCTATGATTTACCTACTACCAACAATCAATCACCGCCTCTCCCAAGCACAGGCCCTGGGGCATGTACATCATCTCCTACTTTGACTGCTTAGCCTATCAAGAATCATCCACGTTCCCTTCCCATTCCTCCTTGACCTCTGCCTGTCTTGGATGCTATTTACAAAGATCCAGTCTGACCATGAGGAAATGTTCTTCAAGATACTAATCAGGGGTGTCTAAAAGACTCCTCCAATAGGAGACTTTGAACCTCCAGAAGTACACCTTCCTCTTAATTTTAGAAAACATTTGGCAGAGAAATACAAGCAAAAAACACAATGAAGTACCACTTCACACCCACTAGAATCAACAAAATGGAAAATAACAAGTGTTAGTGAGCTTGTGGAGAAGTCAGAACTCTCAAATACTACTGGCAAGACACTGTGGGAAATAGTTCAGCAGTACCTTAAAAGACCAAATACAGCATGCTATCAGGCACAATGATTCTATTACTAGACAAGTATACAGAGATACACATGTTCACACTGAAAGTTCTACAAAAGGTCTGGGCAGGGTAGTGCATTCCAGCTGCCCAGGGGGCAGAGGGGGGATAACTGTAGTCTGAGGTTGTCCCCAAGGAAAAACATGAGACCCTATCTGAAACAGACTAGAGCAAGAAAAGGGATAGGAATATGGCACAAGAGGTAGAGCAACCACCAGCGTAGCAAGTGGAGGCCTTGTATAACAAAAAGTTATACATAACTGTTCATAGCAGCATTATTCACAATAGTCCAAAAATGGAAACAACCCAAATATCTATCAAGTGATTAAATAAATAGCTAAATTATTGTATATACCCATGGAATAAAATATTATTAAGAAGGATATGTGTGAATAAGCCTTAAAACATTTATATTAAGTAGAAAATCGGATTCAATTCATATGAAGCTTTTAGAATAGGAAAAATCCTATATAGAAATAGAAAATATGAGTTGTCAAGGGCTAGAGGATTTGGGAAAAAATGAGGGATAATAATTAAAAGGTGTTTGGGGTTTGAGAGGAAAAGAGTAATAAAAATGTTCCAAAGTTAGTTATGATGACAATTCAACAAATCTATAAATATACTAAAATCCAGTGAATTGTCTGCTTAACAACAAAAATTATCCACTTGAGAAAACAGACAGCCACATTCAAATATTGTATGTTAAACTGTGTTTACAATTATTTTAAAAAAATTCAAAAGTTTTTTAGAATAGAACTTTATGTAGGGTAAGGAGATCTAAACTCTATATGTCTGTAGAATTTCACCTAAAACCATTTCATTGAGTTTACAGATTTTGGGACCACATAACAACAGTTTTATTTATCTTTGCCATATCATCTCCCTATTTGTTGCAAGAGATCATGTGAAATAATAGCCCAACAATGGAGTAAATTCAGATTCCTCCCTCTTCTCTCAAGACAATGTATTAGTCCTGCATTCTCAAGAGTAGTAGAGGAATAGGGCTCATGATCTAAACACTAAAGACACAGTAAGAACTCAAAAGATAATTGCCAGTATACTATTACACACTAATTATTCTGAGATTGCCAAGTGATTTATCCTCAAAATTAAATTTCATGCCAAATTCTGGTCTGTCCCTAGAAATATCTCCCTGACAACAAAAAGCAACTCCTAAATCCTTCAAGAATTGCTTCAGGGGCATTTTGAGAGCTGAAATGATTACTCAATTATTTAGGATACTGGCAGTAATGGAAAAGGAGGAATTGATGATAGAACTACATTCTTGGCACTTTAATACAGTAGATGTCTTTACAGAGATAGGGCTAATGATCAACTGAAAAGGTATTTACCTCTGTGGTCCAGTCTCTGCTCTACATTCCAAAGGTTCATCCCCTTTTCCACGAGGCCTTCTTGCCTTCCCTCCCAGCCCATTTTCTATACCAAGCAACACTCATGCTAACTCATGCTTAAAAGTAGAACTTCACTGGCTGAGCTAGTCACATTTCCTCAGAGCCATCAAAAAACCATTTAGGTGGAGAGGCTTTTTCCTTAGGCACACTTAACTTGTGCGGCCAAGATTACTGAAACAAGGAGTAATTGACAAGGCAAATATATTGTGAAAGTAATTTGAGTGCTTCAGCTCAGCAGAGCTCAGACTTGAACCCTTTTATTGGTATTTACTCTGGTGCTCCAAGAATCTAGTGGCTGAGTATTTAAGAACAGGTCAAACACAAGGATTCTGGATGAAGTAACTTGAAAACTTAACTCTTTCTACCTTAGGATCTATGTTGTATTTTCTTTAAGGCAAATAGTAGTAGCTACCTTACAGGGTAATTCTGAGGCATCAGTGAAATCTCTATTTAAATCACTTTGCCTAGCTTAGCCTGGCTTGATTAGACTCCCTATTCTCAAAGTACATTTTCATATGTATGAAGTTTCCAGACAGAAAGGTTTGATGGGAAAAACAATCAATCCAAGACCAAGGTGTTAAGAGCTTCTTTATGAAAAGAAAAAGAACCATACTTTATGAGAAATAAATACTTAGATATAGACTTTGGATATTTGATAAAGTTAAAGAAGGTAATTCAGTAATTAAGATTGATTGCCTAATATAATTATGGGAAGACCAAGAAGGTAGGAACAAGAAGATTAGATGTAGAGTGATATTAAGGCTCCAAAATTTCACTCCTGACATATCATGTGATGGTGGCATTTAAAAACCACAGAACATCATTTCAAAGGGCTCTGGGGATATCTAAATAGCATGGTAAAAATGAAGAGACAGAGACAAAATGCAAATATTCATGGAACTAGTAGTTCATAGTGACAAATAATCTTCAATGAAGGGGAAAATACAGAACAGGTGAAGAATAGAATTGTAGTATGAAGACAGGCTGATGTTTTGTGTTGATTTTGATTTGTGCATAAGAAAAGGAGATTTTTTTTTCACCTTTACAGTTTGAAATGATTGGCAATGACAAGGGAAATGTGGAGCAAAGTGAAAAAGACAAAATGTGAGGTACTAAGCATCGGAAGTGAGTTAAGATTAAAAGCTAGACAATTGAAATCTGGGTATTAGAGAAGAAAAGGTTAAGAATTCTGATGCCTGATATATAACCAGCCCCTAGTGAGAGATAGGGTTGGTAACTGAATTCTTTTACACTTGCCTGCAAAGGTTAGAAGTGCCTATTGGGCTCTAAATTTAGGAAATAACAGTACTTTCCATGTTGGCCACATGACTTTTGAACCATCATTTAACTTCTGTACAAATATAGCTACCATGCTTAATGGAGATGTTTTGAAACTGTTGAGTGCTTGCAGTAGAACAAATGTTAGAGCCAAAATGTCATGATGTTAAAATTTTATGGCTCAGTGTGAGCTTGGTTAGTTTCTTGATTCACAGTCCACTCTGAGAACAAATTAGGTACTTTGGAAATCTTCCTAAATTGTTGCAGGTTACTCATCACCACTACTGTCTTGGGGAAAAAAAAAAAACAACTGTTGTTTTCCCCCGAACAGTGTTATGTTTGCATGTTTGTTAGAATACAAAGCAGTTATTCCTCTAATTTGCACTCTTTTTATGAATATGAATAACAAACATGATAAGTTAGTGAGTTTAATCCTTCTCTCAGATGCCCATGTCTGTCCCATGATTTTCAGAACCAAGGCAAACAGATGCACTTTCAGTGCAATGTAAAAGATTATTAGAGATGTCAGGCAATTTCACAGAGCAGATTTCAAGCCCAGATCTGTCTCAGCCTCCTACACCCTCATGTACATGCAAACTGATGGCCTACTTACCAGTGACAGTCTCTCTGAAGCACTCCTAAACCCTCGGAAAATCTGCATTCAGCTCAAACAATTATCATGATCTTATCTCAGTTGTTGTCTGCTGACTCTGAATTTCATCCCTGGGTTCTAGAACTTTACATAGCTGGGAAAGATCCCCAATTAGAAATATCTGAAAGCCGTACTGACACTCAATTCTCAAATCTCATTTCCTAGGCATTATTTAAACCAGCAGGCCTTATTTTGAAGCTGGTGTAAGAAGCAGAACTTTATTATAATAGACGTAATAACATATCATGGGACAATAGCATATAAAAAATACAGTAACTACATCATTTCCACGTAGCAGGGGGCCTATTTTGAGCTCAAAAGATTCATAAATACGGCTTAAAAGTGGTAAAGCCGGAACCAATTCCAGGTTTCCAGACTCCACTTCCATTACTCTTACCATTACGTCAAGGAAAACTGCCCCATAGGGAGGATAGATTAAAAAATGTAATCCAGAATCCTTGGAACCAATGTGATGTCTTCCTTCTGAGGAGAGTTTTGGCTCTTACAGTTGTCCACACAATTGTGCGGATTTGTATGCATATGCTGGCTGATTGATTGGAAGATCTCCTTCCCTAGATTCCATTAAAAGATCATAGCAAAAGTCTGTCTTGAGGGTTCCGATGAATTGGCTTCAAGGCAAGAGATTAGAGGATGTCGTATTGATTTACAGCAAGATGAACTGTTGAGTCTCTAGTTCAAACACCCACGAGTTCTCCTTATCTATGATTATCATGATCATCCACATTTCTACTTGTATTTATAACAGTCTTGTGGGAGTGAGGTTGTTTCCTTTTTGTTTCTCAGGTTGTGGTTTCTCGAACAGTATCATTCACCCCCCATGTGAATTTTCAACTGGATTCCCACCCTGTATCTCCAGAAGTGATTGTAGAGCACCCACTGAACCAAGATGGCTACACTCTGGTTGTCACTGGGAAGAAGGTAAGCCCTGTTTCCACTCAGAGTTTCCATGGATATGGTTCTTCCTAACGAGATATTTATAGCCAGCCTTCTATGGGTTTTGTTTTGTTTTGTTTTATAACTTCTCTCTTCATCTTAGATCCAGTCTCCATTATGTTCTTTTTTGAGTATTCCATAGATCTTCTGAAATAAAATTAAGTTTTTAATTCAAGGGATATTAAGCCTAAGGGAGATGTTCATATTGTACTTTTCTCCTCCAGAAGAGCACTACAGAATGAAAATTACAGTCTTAAGAGTAAAACTGTAATGCAAGAAGATAAATCCTGAAAATACATATTGGAATCTAACTCCAGCCAATAATCCCTCTTCCTCTGGGACAAAGCTGTGCATCTGAGTAGGAGAATTGAATGCAACCTTACTTAGAATTTCCCAGGGGTGCAACTGTGTTTTCTTACATCTTAAATTATACTCTCTTATTATTTGTAAGTAATCTCAGGCAGAGCTAAATGTCCACACTATCTAGAACCTCTGACATTTAATAATGATGCTTGTGTACCTGAATGGTACTATTATATTAATATTTTGCTTTGGTTTTGGTTTGGGATTTTTGGAAGCATCATCTTACTACAGGTTCCCAAGCTGGACTGGAGCTTGCAATTCTCCTGCTTTAGTCTCTCAAGTAGTTGGGAATTCCAGGTGTTTACCACTGTACTTGGTTATTACTGGCTAGCAGTGTTAACTTTATTATCTATGTGCCAACAACAGAAGAAAGGAAAGAGTCGTTTTATCATTTTAAACACAACAATAATTACAGTTTGCACAGATTCAATAGACTATAAAATTATATGCATTATCTATAAGTTTTTATATATTCCACTTTTACTTAAACAAATCAAAAACTCCTCTTCCTGTCCTTTCTTTTCACAGATCACCAAGATCCCCCTGAATGGCTTGGGCTGTGGACATTTCCAATCCTGCAGTCAGTGTCTATCTGCCCCTTCCTTTGTGCAGTGTGGATGGTGCCATGATCAGTGTGTGCGGTCAGATGAATGCCCCAGTGGGACATGGACTCAGGAGACCTGTCTGCCAGCAATCTATAAGGTCAGAAACTCTGTCAGCTGTTACGTGTTCAGTAAACACAAATTGCTCCTTTTTAATTTTTTTCAAGTATCTTCAAGTAGTTGTACAAATGAGTTGCCATCTAACAAAGCAGTTTGTGAATATAATATGTTTTTGTCTGTGTCATCCCTTTCAACATTCTTACCCATCATTTCCCCACCCACTCCTTCCCCCACTCTTCTTAATTTTGCAGAAACCCTCTTTTTTAAAAAATCCAAATCTCAATTTATTCTTTTAGCGGTGAAGCATCAGCCAAAGCAACCTGTCCCTCTGTTGCTCAAAATAGGGAAAAAGACTGCTAAAGCAGTCTTTTTTTTTTTACAGTTTTTTTTAATTGTAAAGGTGATACACAGAGAGGTTACAGATACATAAGTCAGGTAAATAAGTCCATTTCTTTTTCTTAATTTAATTTTGTTGTAAAAGTAATGTACAGAGGGGTTACAGTTACATATATATTGAGTACATTTCTTTTTTTAATTTAATTTAATTGTAAAGGTGATGAACAGAGGGGTTACAGTTACATAAGTCAAGTAATAGGTACATTTCTTGTTGAACAATGTTAAACCCCCCCCCTTATTTTCTCCCACTATGCCTCCCCCCTGACTCCCCTCTGCCCCTAAAGTTGTAAAGTTCATTTCCAACGTAATTTCTGGGGAGTATCACTGTTGCACTGGTGCATCTGTTGTACTTTGTCTTAACATTTTGTTATTCTCTTTCCCTTCCCCAAATCAGATAAATGTATATACAAGACACAGGAGCACTCTTGAGTCCTGCATTTGAAGAGCTTGTTTCACATTTACCGGCCACACTCTTTGGAGTCTGCTCTCCCTTAGTGTTGTATGTAAAACAGAGCAGCATTGCTCCTCATTTCTTCACACTAGGATTTATTTTTTCCTACCTGACTGACCCATTCTGATTCCTCATTCTTTCCTTCATGTCAGATGCCCAGACAAGAGCCTCTATCAGCGTAGGGACAGATCGGTTCATGGCAAACCCTGGCCTCTTAGGTAAACCATGTAACTTGATAACCCAGCCACCCTGGGGGAGATAGGAAACAAGGTGTCTTCCTGTTTAACCATTCGACAGAAACACTGAATCATCACAGATGGGAAATTGTCTTCAGAATATTGTGGGAGGCAGTGAAGGGTCAACACCCATGGGTAGCTAGGAATCTTGTCTCAATGTACCTGGATGTGTTTATAAAGGCTGACCTGATTGCTAAGATTTTCTGTGAGCCATTTCATGCCTTAATCTACGCAAAAAATACTTATAGAGTGTATGTGTGTATATACATACTTATATATATTTACAAAGTACATACTTATATATAAATATAAGTTTATATATATACATATATATATATATATACTTCTAAGTATATATGCTTTAAAGTACATGGCCTTTCCTAGACACTAGAGGCATTCAGTCCACAAGGAGAAAAAGGCACCTCCTGCTATTGGGACCTTAGTTTTTGCAGTGGATTTCAGTCCTGACATTTTACATTTTAGCCATGCACACTGTGTCTTCATTTACCCAAGTTTGTGCTTGGCACAACTTAGATGAAAATCTCTGATTCTTTGGTTCAGTTATATTTTTCTTTAAAATAATTCCCAGATGAGGATCCAGTATGTATTTTTTCTGCCTGCATTTAGAACAGTTGTTGGACTTTAGAATATTGTTCTTGTGAAAGATTTAAGTTAAAGATCTCCTTCACCTGGCTCATTCCTAAGTAAACAAAGTGTGCGGGTCAGGATAAGAGCAGTCCCTAAGCAGGTGGCTGTTTTCATTTAGTTACGGGTTAGTTAGGTCAAGGTTTGCAGTGGCTGACTGTGTTTCAGTCTAATCATTTTCCATTAGGTTTGACATAGTTATCAAGACTCAGTTTGACTGGTCAGGGAAAAGAGCTAAGAGAGAAAAAGAAAACAAATGTAAATCTATGTACTTATATACTAAGTAATTATGTACTTCATATACTCTTAAAAATTACATATAATCTAATGCATTTATAAGCACAGAGCCTTGGTCATTTTAAGCACTAGAAATTTGAACTCTTCACATTCCATAAAAAGCAATATGGAATGTATGTGTGAATGTCTATGTGTGTGTGTGTTTGTACACACACTGGAATCACAACAATTTCTTTTTTCAAAAAATAACAAACCAAGACAAATGGAACATTTAGTTTTGTCCACTGTACTTCTCTTCACTAATCATGAAGGCTATGTTAAACAAAAAAGGCTGAAGATAAATCAATATTTGAGAAATGGGGAACCAAAGAATCTTTTATATATTTGGGGCTCCTTCTTTCATCTTCTCTAATACCATCCTCGTACATTTGGGAATGTTTTTAAAGGTTGCATTGTATCAGGCCCAATCAATAAGGCATGGGCTGTATAGTCAGAGGGAAAGTGGTACAGCTGAGTCCATAAATCCTCTCAGTTCATAGTTGTTAGGAAGATTTCATGCTACACTAGACCATGACATTTAACATTCTTACTGCAAAAAAATGGACAGATTATTCATCTTTTCTTTATCTCTCTTAAACTCTACATGCATAAAATCCAGCTAATATATATAGTTTCAGTTTCCAATATATACACGTTAACCTGCTTTTCAAGGTACATGCTGATCAGTGGCTGAAATTCTTTGCAGTTGTCCAAACCAGCAAGACAATATCATATACCACCACAAAGACATCTGTGACTTTTTTGTCATGTTAAAGCAGAAAGGAGTCTTTCATTATGAATTGTAATTGTCAAAGACTCTTTAAAAAAAACCTTTCTCATATTTTATCTTAATGAGTTAAAAAAAAAAAACCATGATCTTAAATTTAAAAATACTGCTGGAATTGGCCCATCAGTGATAGAATGAGAGCTGTGTCTTCCCCAGCCAGAGAAGTGGGAGACAGAGCCTCTGTGGCTTTCTGTCAGACACTCATTTCCTGTTCACTGAGTTTCTCTGAGCTTTGGGATAACTCAGAGTTTGCCAGCCCATTGTTGGGGCTGTTCAAGGGTGTGTGGTCCATGACTGCTTCCTTCCCTTACCCATGGAAGAGTGAAGGTTGTCCCATAAGCTGAGAGGAAAGGAGCCCAAAGAGAAAAACTAGACAGAGCTGGCCTTTTGAAGCCTGAGAATCTAGAGGTTTATAATATCCATCTCTATTGCTGGTGTACCAGGTAAACAACTCTCCAAGTCTTTTCTGAAATCATCTCCCAGGCACTTTACCTTATATTGAAAGTGATAACATGTGTCCAGGGACAGACTTCAGCTTTTCCATAGAACTGGGGAAGTAGGTAGAAGGATCAGACCCACATCAGCCTTGGGCAGCTGTTTTAGGTGGGGGAGTCTTCTGATTAGAAGAGGGAACAGCAGCTGTGTGTCGGCTTCAGGCTGAAGAGAGTCCTGGGAGGGTTGGATGTCTTGTTCTCTCCTACTGGATTTCTAGTATAATAATAAACAGATTTTTTTGCCCTAGTAGTTCTCATTTGGCTCCACATAGACGAGGTAAATGGTCATGAAAGGCACAACTGTGTAATGGATTTTTATGGGTAAAATGGATATCATAAAAGCATTAAGTTAAGACTTTATGGGGTTTGGTAACAAGGATATGTTAAGACTTGGGTCCATGATTATTTACTTAAGAAAACTGGGAATGTTTGTAAATTTGAATTTTGCTAAAACGTTTTCTACAGGATTTGCACAAAATTGGGCTTTAGCAAATACTCTTGCTAGTGTCTGAGTTGCTGGTATCTTCATGCTAAGCTTTCCCACCATTGTACTTTTCAGCACAATTTACAATATGTCCCCCGAAAGAGCATTTCCTTTCTCAATTGTCACACAGCTCTGTAGGAGAAACTTATTTTTAACTTAGAAATGTGTTCTGCTTAAATAGCTTTAGCCTCAGAACAGTTGTCTTACAGACATGGTAAGTGCCTAATGCTTATATCATGGCTGACAAAATTTTATTAATAACCTCAAATTTCACATTACCACACCAAAGTGAGGCTGCAGCAATGCAATGAACCTATTATTGACTGAATATCAAACATGTGGCAAAAAGTTAATCTTTAAAAAATGAAATGCAATATACTAACAATGGATAAATTAGGAAATTTTCCAGAGTATTGGCTTGGGTTCCATCTATTTCTGGAGTTCTGTATGTATTAAATATTACACAATTTAATTATATGTCATGTACATGCAATATAGTAAATGGAGACCACATTTAAAGGACAATGAAAATCCCATCATTAATCAATATGAATTGATAGATATAAAGAAGTAGATCCACTTATAAAGATAAAAAAGTATGTCATATATATGTTCATCAGTGCTTGTCATATAGATGATGCAGAAGGGAGGGAGGAAGGAAGGAAGGAAGGAAGGAAGGAAGGAAGGAAGGAAGGAAGGAAGGAAGGAAAGGAGGAAGAGGAGGAGAAAGGAGAGGAGGAAGGGAGGGAGAGAGAAAGCAGACATGTATTAAATACCATCTATGTATTTAGTATTATGACATCTGTTGAATGCAACTATACAAACCCTGCACACCAAAAGAGATATGTTTGGTGTGCAGCTTCTTTTTCTTCTCTGCGTTACAATAAGCATGTTGTGCACACAGCTAGAAAACACAACATAACATTTATTGGACCTTCACTTCTAGGCCTATTAAGGAATTTGGACCAGAGTTTGATGCAGAGTCTCATGAAGGAGAAGTTGCAATCAGTTACAAGTAAATGAGAGTCTGAGCCTTAGAAATAAAAAGTGAGTTCATTTCAGAGTAGCTCCAAAGACCCCTCATTGCCACCCAGGCTAACTCTGGCTCTCTATCCCATCTCTGGAACTCCTTAAGCAGCTGGGTATCATCAGCATGTCAGGTAGCTTTAATGCTTGTTGCAGATGCTCAGGAATTTTTGACCCTTTTCCTTTAGCCCAAGTTCAACTTTTACTAGATTGTGGGAGAATGGAAGAATTTCCTACTATTTATTAAGTAGTTGTTTTGGCTTTCTACTGATATGAAATGTAATAATATATTGAATTGTTTTAAAGTTCTCTGTTGACCTTACAGGTTTTCCCAACTAGTGCACCTCTTGAAGGAGGGACAATGCTGACCATATGTGGCTGGGACTTTGGATTCAAGAGAAATAATAAATTTGATTTAAGGAAAACCAAAGTTCTCCTTGGCAACGAAAGCTGTACCTTGACCCTGAGCGAGAGCACCACAAATATGTAAGGATCTTCAAATTTATGCGTTGTTGGGCTGGGAATGGAAGATGGGTCCTGTTTTGGAATGAATACTGGTTTTAAAAAATGCTCAAAACATTCATTCTTGAATTAGTAAAGACCTTGGCCTGATGTACAACTTGTAGACTTGTTTTGTTTTGCTCAGATTTACTTATGAGAATTAGGGGAAGAGAAAAGTAACATGGCCTAGGTGAAGAATCAAAAAATCTGGTCTCCAGAGTTTTGGCAGCCATTATAACCCAACAGCAATTGGCTAGATTTGAAAGAATGGCACTCTATCTTTCTAATCTTCAAATATGGACTCCAAAGGCTTTTTTCTGTGAAAGTCAATAAGCTACTTAATACAGATCCTTTATCCAAATTCACATAGAAGTCCTTGGTAACATAGTGAAGCCTCCAAGTCACATTTTTGAGACTTTCTGAATGAACTTAAATTTATATTTATATTCATTCTGCTATAGTCCATATGTGCTTTTTAAAAGCTCTAAGGTCCATCTTGAACAATGAATTCAGAAACTATTGGTTACCATGTGCTAACATTGGTTTTATTGGTTGAATCTCTTATGATTGAATTAATTTTGCATGTAATAGACTTTATTCTGGTATTACAAAAGATCTAATTATATTAATTTCACTTATACCAAACAATCAGTTTATAATAGTTAGCTCTCAATGACAAAACAATCTTTTCTAGAAGTCACACGTATCAGTTTCTTAATTATTGCATTATAAGTTAGAACTTGGAAAAATGAAAAATAGTTCATTCTCTTCTTTTAAAAGTTACTTACAAATTATATTTAAATTTTTTCAGAACTATAAGATCATTCTGTGGAAAGCCTAATCAAAACCCCAATTAAAGCCTAATTAAAGGTGAATTTTGTTAGCCTTTAAATAATTTACTAAACATATGACAAATACAACCATAGAAATGTCCCTGTTAACATACTTTGATGAAGAGATTTGAATTCCTTGTAGCGAGATTATTCCAAATGTTACTAAAATACATGTGTCTTACGTGTGTCAAATACTACAGCTACAATTTTATAGACTAAGATTATTGTACTCATTTTAATTGACAAAATCTACATGGGGGAGCCCTAATGTTTCCTATTTGGGTTATGTAAATATTCTATTCCAGTTAATATAAACTTTAGCATAATAGTACAAAGTAGACATGCAATTTTCAGCCTTTATGCTTACCATGAAACTCTCGTTACTGTTCAATCATCAGCTCAGAATTTGGAGTTAACATCTCATCATTAACAACAGCCAAACCAGAAAATGCTTGTGGATTTGTAGCATATTAATTTTGCTTTTCCCCCCCTCAGGTTGAAATGCACAGTTGGTCCAGCAATGAATGAGCACTTCAATATGTCTATAATTATTTCAAATGGTCGAGGAGCAACCCAGTACAGTACATTTTCTTATGTAGTAAGTCCAAGCATTCCTTTTCTCAAGAACTAAGATATTTGATTTTCAGCGAATGTATATTGAATAATAAAATTAACAAGTTTCTTTGTTTTTATCTCCCTTTCAGGATCCTATAATAACAAGTATTTCTCCAAGTTATGGTCCTAAGGCTGGAGGCACTTTACTTACTTTAACTGGAAAATACCTAAACAGTGGAAACTCTAGACACATTTCCATTGGTGGAAAAACATGCACTTTAAAAAGGTGTTGTAAATTTATTTTATTTTATTACATTTTATTAGAATACATTTTTGTGGGGCTGGGAATGTGGCTTAGTGGTAGAAGTGCTTGCCTAACACGCATGAAGCCCTAGATTCGATTCCTCAGTACCACATACACAGAAAGAACTAGAAGTGGTACTATGATTCAAGTGGTAGAGTGTTAACCTTGAGCAAAAGAAGCTCAGGGACAGTGCCTAAGCCTTGAGTTCAAACCCCAGGACTGGCAAAAAACAAAAGTTCTTTTTTAAAAAATTAGTTATATAAGAGAGATTTCATTTCATCATTTGCATACAGGTACACAATATTTATTTTCATTTCTTATGCTGTTAGATTAATGCCTGTTTCTAGGAAACTAAGGACACTATTTTCGGTAAAGAAAAAAGTCTTTTTCTTTAATGTTTACTATCCTACTGAGGAGATTGTTTCCTTCCCAAATTAATCTGTTCCCTTTTGCTGATTTTTCTACCCTTTCCTTTATATATGTTAATTGCTTTTCTGAGTTTTATCTTCCTATTGTGATAATCTCAGTGCCCTAGCTACATTGCAAATGTGAGTCTCTGGTCATGCCAATCAATTAGAATACACATTTCCATCAAGATTTAAAATTAGAGTATGTCACAGAGGGTGGAAGAAATAGAGGAGACTGGGATTGGAAGGAGTTGTGTTTCTGCTTCTTAGACTTGAAAGAGCTCAATTTGCTCAAGTACCAAAAGTTCTTTAAAGATTGCTTAAAATGTCAAATCTTTTAAAGTAAAGGATGATCTTTCAACAACAGAGCTAAGTTTGGGATCCAGTAAGATGTAAATAGCCTACACTAAAAGGCTGTTTCCAGACGATCTCAGGAAATCCCTATTTAGGAGTCATTGAGTTATACCCTTTGATTTATGGATGTAATTCTAAGTTATGTGTATCTCTAATAGCTAAGGTCTTTTTTTTTCTTTCCTTTTCTTCCTCTTGCTTTTTTTGTCGTTGCTGTTCAGTGTGTCAAATACTGTTCTTGAATGTTATACCCCAGCCCAAACCATTTCAGCAGAATTTCCTGTTAAACTGAAAATAGACTTAGCCAACCGAGAGACCAGCAGCTTCAGTTACCGGGAAGATCCTGTTGTCTATGAAATTCACCCTACCAAATCCTTTGTAAGGTAAGCAAACACTTCTGGTAGCTATAAGAAAATAAGGATCATATATATCACTGTAGAAGAGTCAAAACAAATTACATTTTTACCCCTAGCTTTGATGCTACTGCATTTCTTCTAAAGCTTATCTGTTTAATTCACTGGAGAAAACTGTACTAATATACTAGGTACAATTTGACTTTAGCTGTGTTTTTTAATGACAAGAAGCATTTCATTCTATTATGTTTTAAACATATGAAAAAGCAATTCAATAAGCTACCATAAATTGTGTACACTGAAATATATGTCAATGCTGTACAGTAATATGCCCCCCCAAGAAAAGGTGAACTCACCTTTTCTTGTCCATTTTTCAGGGTATTTTTTTTTCATTTAGCCTACTTTACACACAGCTTTTCCCCATACCAGATTCCCTTTGAGTTGGTATCTTGTTGGACTCAGTTCAGTCCGCCCTGTTTCCATTAATTCTATCAGTCTAGCAACAATATTGTCTGTTTATTTTTTACAGACAAAAAAATATTTTTTCTATATTTGGTGAATAAAAGTACAAAGGTACTGGGACCCAGTGACTCACACTTGTAATCCTGCCTACTCAGGAGACTGAGATCTGATGATTGCAGTTCGAAGCCAGTCTGGACAGAAGTCTATGAGACTTTTATCTCCAGTTAACCACCAGAAAACCAGAAGTAGAGCTATAGTTCAAAGTGGTAGAGAACCAGCCTACTCAGGGACAGTGCCCTGAGTTCAAGCCCTATGAACAACAACAAAAAAAAAAAAAAAACTACAGAAACATGCAAAGATCTTTCTGCATCTTATGAAATAGAAATTTGTAACAATATTTTCAAATAACATTATTTCCAAAGAAGAGTTGCCCCTGAAATTCCATTTGATTTATTGCTTTTCCTCCAGCATTAATTCAGTGCATGTGGAAAAATAGAACCTCCTCTTAAAATGTTTGGTGGGAAGAAAATTCTCAGATTCCCATTTTCTTTCTACTGTGTTTTTTTTTCAGTGGCGGAAGTACAATAACAGGTATTGGAAGAAATCTGAATTCAGTTAGTGTTTCAAAGCTGGTAATAAGTGTGTATGAAGCTGGAAGGAACTACACAGTGGTAAGTCTTTGGAGTGATGGGCCTACTCGGAGCTTCTGTCACTCTGCTCTGTCATGCGGCTTCCTGGGCACACGGGACATTTGTTTTTGTTTTTAAAGTTTGCTAATTACCTTCTTAGTGGCATATTTCAGACAAAAACCATTTAGGCTTGGGATGATGTTGTAAACATATACACACATATAAATATTAAGATACAAATGAAGACCAACTTGAGACAAGTTTTTAAAGACAATAAGAATAGAAATAACAGTATTCTCAAGAGAGGGGTAAATTCCATAAAAGTACATTATATGCATGTCTGGGAATATTGCAGTGAACAAAACCCTTTGCACAATTAGTATGCACTAGTAAAAATGGAGAAAAAAGTAATAGAGGAGGTGAATTGAATATTCATACAAGAAAATGTCATGATGAAACCCCTTACTATGTAAAACTTAGTAAATGTTCATAAAAAGTCAAGTGGCCATAGAAAAATGAACATCATAGCACTGCCCTATGTCCATTTACTGCCCTATTTACTATAGACTATAGGTGCTATTTTAAGAAAACTCTTGGATAAAGCCTATAATCTTTCTGCAACCTACTTTTCTTTCTAAAGCAGCAGACATAGTGTCTTCTTACATCCCCATTCTTCTGTATGTCCCATGGTTACCACATTGCCAAGTAACAAGGGAGGACACTATTATCTCTTAGATGTAGATGGTATTTGTTGTTTTTCCACATGTTCTTATTTTATTGGCAAGGTTAATCAGAATTTAACTAATTGCCTCCTTAAAAGTAATTCCCCCCCCCCAAATTTAAGTAATTGACCCATTTTGTACTGTAACCATTTCACTAAGTCACATTAAAATTTTATTTTTAGTTTAGATTTGGAGATGATTGGGTGAGTTTCCAAACATCCATACTTTTCAGCAATGTTTTTCTCTACTATGAAATGCTGTAATCGAGTTGGACGTGCATGCTCAACTTAGAATAACTGAGTTCTAAGTGCTCCTGCTCAAGCAGTGTTTTGATTGAGCAGGTGATAGATTGAATTACAGCACTTTCTTCGAGATTTCCCATTCAATATTTCTTGAAGAATAAAGCCACAGTGTTCTTTAATTACAAAAACCAATTTGGGGCCAAAAATGTCAAGCTAAATCACCAAACAATAAGGTCATTTCAAATAAGATTTTTCTTGACCTTCTCAATCAGCCACATTGCATCACCTCTAAGGAGTATTATTAGATTTTTATCATATTCCTAAGAGATGGTACTCTAGGGAGTCTCCACATGAAGTAAAGGGCTTTGAAGCCAATCCTCAGACATGGCCACAAACAAAGTTAGAATAACCACTGCTATTAGTTTAGAGGACATCAGTTCTCCATAACCAAGAGAAAGTTTTACATCAACCAAATAAAAATACCCTCTTAGGTATTGGCATGTGATTTTTTAGAGTAAAAATTTGAAAAGTTACTGGTTTTGTTAACAATGAAGCTTCATTATTAAAGTTAATAACTAAATTTTCATTGATCTCCTTTACCGTTATTCAAATGACCCTTAAAACAACTATTAGCTTAGTTCAATTATTCATAGTCAAATATTTATTAGAAATCATCCAGGTGTCCAATATAAGAGATGCACTTCCCCCAGAGAGAGTCAAACAATAGTGGAAGATTAAATCTTATCTGTTAACCTATCTGGAAATGTACACTTCTATTGTTTTAGCCACAAACATGTTGGTACAATAGAACTATGCATGGGAATTGGACAAGAGTGGAACATTAAGTGGACCTCTTTTATTCTTTACTATCTCACTATTTACTATTTTGGTATTTGTGAAAAACACCTGGTAAAGAGAAGTGTTTTTTCCATGTCCCCTCTTGCTTATAGAATTTGAAGTTGCCCATGATGAATTGAACCTATTTATCAGTTAATAAATACAAACTTGTGATCGGGTCTGATTTAAATATATAGGTCCAGCCACAATAATTTTTAAGTTTAATAAACTCAAATCTTCTAAAATGTAATTGCCTTCTTAACAAAATATCCCCTCATTGGTTAATGCACATTGGGTCTGAGAATTCTACAGCCTCTTATGTGGCTTCAGAGTTCTGGCTGTTACATAGAGAATTATTATATTGGCAGTAAGATTGTTCATTTCCATTTTGAAAAAGATGATTAAAAAATGAATATCGCTTAGTATTATAATATGAATTTCATGTGAAACTAAATAAAACTGAATTTTATTCATGTTGTATGTCATTTTATCTCCTTATAACATACATTCTTAAATGTACAATATTTTTTTAATTTTTTAAGTATCAAGGACCAAATTCTGCTTGTGCTTTTTATGTACATCCTGAGGCCATTTGCTATTGTGGGCATACAGAATTGTTTTATTTCCAAGTATGCTTGTCAAAGAAAAGGAAATCTAAGGGATGTTGTTGCTTGTTTGTCTTTTCCTTGGGGGGGAAGAAACACAACCATTTAACTGTAAATGTGCCACTTTATATCGCTAGTTTTAGCCTAAGTACAATAAAGAGGAAACCACACTTTCCAAAATTCCATAAATCATAATTTCAAAGGGGAAGATTTGAAATGTGAGATGAAAGGGCATGAAATAATAATAGCAGAGCCTTTGTAAAATAGAGAGCATAGGAAAATATTTACCAATATAGAAAATGTAATTTTTTAAGAAGTATAGCATGGGGGTTAAGACAGTGACTATTGATTGAATGGCTTAGGGTATATACCCTACTCTGCTTCTCTAGAATGTGGCCTGGTCTAATATGTTTGCAAACCTTAGTTCTTCATTTTTAACAGGATAATTATGGCTCCAACCTGTAGGATTATCAGAAAAAAAAATGTAACCAACCCTGTAAAATATTCTCCACAAAAACTGGTATCAGATCCTTAACACACATGAGAAAAGAATCTACTTATAATATTAACTGTATGGTGACTTACCATGCAGCATACTACATTGTGAATAATATTCTAATCTTAATTCCTAAATGAGGAAATTCAGATTTCTGAGTAAGGGCTCTGCATCCATTCCTATGGCTTGAGTTAAAACTAGCATCTGACCCAAGAATTTGTAATCCCACAAAGCCCAGCTCCCACTCAGCCATAGCTGCTTCACAACACCGGAAAGTGGTCCTTCCCAGTGGTTGTCTTGTTTTCTTAAGTAAGATGATGGAGTAAAGGTCAGCTGCAGAAAGAGCACCATAGTTCATTTTGGACAAGTGAAAATCTATGTTCCTTTGAAGATTGAGTCCTTAGGAAAACTTTGCATCTGTCATATTTCCAGAAATAAGATGTCTTTAACATTATGAATTCAAGTGCAGGCTTTCTCTCAATATTATATACATACTATATATAACATATACATCATATATATCTTGTATATATGATTTTCCGAAGCTGTAAAGTTGGAAGTTGCTATGGATCCTGTCAAGCGCTGCCCTCTGACAGAGGATAATAATTGTGTTGTCCTCCAGGCATGTCCACACCGCTCTAATTTGGAGATCATCTGCTGCACCACTCCTTCACTGCAGCAGCTGAATCTGCAACTCCCCCTGAAGACCAAAGCCTTTTTCATGTTAGATGGGATCCTTTCCAAAAACTTTGATCTCATTTATGTACATAATCCTGTGTTTAAGCCTTTTGAAAAGCCAGTGATGATCTCAATGGGCAATGAAAATGTACTCGAAATTAAGGTAAGAATTGCTTAAAATGGTCTCTTAAATCAACTTGAACTCTATTAACTTCATGGCAATATGAATAGAATCATTGTATTTGGTCAGTGTATCTTCTACATCAGCAAATACCTAAGCTCTGAAAAGCAAACCTTTTTGGCATAAGACTAAAAGATAAGTGTGGATTGCTTTTTAATGGAGCATTTAAAACTCCTTTTTGTGTATATATTTTTAAAAATAGCAAATGCTGAACACAAATGTATTAAAGAGGCTCAAGCTTACAGGGACACTTTATCCTGATGATCTTATACATTCCCTGTATGCTTTACCTAAATGTGCTCATTTATAAGATAAGCAGCAAAGGCCATGGAAGTAAATGCCTCAACTGTAATTCTGTACTTCCTTGTAATACATGGAGTTTTGCATCTGGTCATCTGTAAGCTAGTTTATAAATGAAACAGGTTGCTTTTTTTACTACCTTAGTAACATATTAGCCTCTAAAAATAATGTCATGGGTAATAACAGATCACCTTTCCTAAGCCAGCCTATTACATCTCAACAGAAGCAATTAAGCCAACACATGAATTGCAGACCAAAGATTAGAATACATCTCTGATGTCACTTAAGTCATTTCTACTTCAAATAATAATAAAAGAGGCAAGATGATTACGATTTCAATTATCCAGTACTAGTCATTAGAAACAGAAATATAGTTATCCTTCACCAATTTATTCTCCGAACAACAATGTATTTCTTCTTTAGACAGATTTGTTTTCTTGAAAGATCATCTGAGTATAAATATGAATAAACACAAGGCAATAAGCCCATCCTTATTTGGGTGCAATATAGGTTGCTGTAAACTTTTCCATCTAAGGAATATGTTTCCCCTGGACTTTTGTCTGCTTTTTACCAATACAAACCAACCCGTGCACACATTCACACTCATTGTATTTGTACAATAATTAAGCAAACCCAGCATGAAATTAAATGGAGGCCTGCTTCAATGAACAGCATGTTTACCACAGCAAAGTTCTTTCATCTGCTTCTTTAATTAGTTTTAGGAAAGGAGAAAGAGCTTTTATCACTTCCTTTTTTTTCCCTTGGAATAAAAACTAATCTAGTGTGACCTTTTGCCTTCAACAATGACTGTGTTTGCTGTTTTAAAGATTCCACTTGGTGCTTCTTGGTGAAAACAGAGGTTTATGTGCAAATAGTTTCACACCCAAGGAAACTATTGTTCTGTTGATTTATCTCAGATGAATGGATCAGAGATAAATGCTTCTTTATCTACCCTTCTAAGCACATTGTTGTTTAGAAGAAAAAACTTCTTCTATAAATTATTCCTATTATTCTACAGCATACAAAATTGTTGGACCAAAAATGACCCCAAGATCTGAAATCATCTCAGCCAATGAATGGTGTCTCCAACATGGCCAGTTCAGCATAAAGCAGTAAAGATTTACTCTTTTTTTTTTTCCTCTAACAAGTAAATAGCACCTGTCATAGTCTAGAGTGGTTGTTTTGGTATCGTGATTATTCTTTCACCAGGGGAAATCTGAAAGCGTATAAGCCTATCTCTTGTGACAGCAACTTAACTCTTCAGCAGTTTCCAAAATTGATTACATCTACATGAACGAAGCATGAGAATGGAAAGGAGAAGCCATATGTCTTTATTTTTGGTTTTATCAAAAGAAAGGCAGCCCTTACCATTGCATGTGGTGCTTGATCCATTATCATTCAAAATATGGGTGTAAAGTGTCCTTGTCTTCCATCAATAAAAGTGTCATGGAAAGAATCGTAAATTTAGAGTGAGATGTTTCTCTTAACTGCCAGCAACAGTTCACACTTTGCAATCAGCTTTACCTGCAAAGGTTTCTTGGCTAAAAGAAGGGTTGTAATTATTTCCAGCCGCAGCTTTTAGAGCTGCCTCCATGACCAGTTGGTCATGGAGTGACTATTTCCTTGGGCATAAGAGCCAACCAAGTTTGGGACAAGAGAATAGACTGAAGACAATCGAAGCTAAAGACAAGTCACTCCTCAGAGTGCTTCAGAAACCCCAAGGATATAAGAGGTAGTTAGGAACAAGGTTTTGAGTGCACCAGGACCAGCTGTACACAGTGGTCATCAGACATATACATCTTTGGGAGAATACCCAGTAGTGCACTATTCTTCTATCAACAAGACCTCATATTCATAAGGAATCTTACAGTTAACATGGGCAAAATGGCATATATTATTTCATTTGCATTCCCCATGGATCCATGAGGTTAAGAGGTCAGTAATGATTATCCTCGCTTACAGATAAATAGGTTTCAAAATATTAGATGACTTGTCTTGGGGTCACCTAGGGAGGAAACAACAAACTTAGGGCTCACAGTCAAGCCAAATTCCAGTACATTGCAATCCTTCTTGTACTCACTTTCTTATTGACTTTCCAACACTTTTCACAATAAGGGAACTTTTATCATATTGTATTTCAATAGCTATACTGTTTGTTAAATAAAATACCTCTAAACGTTTACAAACATTTAAAATTTGATTCTGTGTAAAGAAACTCCCCCCACACACGCACACAGTTACCTTAACTGTGCATGAGTATGCTTTGTGGAAAGCAGAGAATTGCAATATTTAATGCCAAAGTAAGGACTGCCTAGCACTGACCCGCTAGTTCTTTTCCTGGAGCATGTAGGTATATGTGGTAATCAGATGTGTTTCCTACATCCAGTCTGGAGAACTCAGCTCACACAGAAAAAGGGGTCAGGAAGCAGGGAGCAGGAAAGCAGAAAGTTGGGTATGACCTTGTGACCACAAGAACAGACTTTGGGGAGGTCTAGCAGAGGTCAGCATTAATGGTTAGGTACCAAAAACATTATTCTGAGCCATAACAATTCAAGTGTTGTTCAGAAGGAGCTTAAGTCTCCTTAAGTTTTCATGTGCCTAAAGATTCCAAACTAACCACAACTAACTTGAGTTCAGTTCTCAGCCCAGACAGGATAGAAGGGAAGGGTTCATTCATCAGAGTTGATTTGCTAAGCATCAAGACTTAATCTTGTTTGATGGTGTTCTTATCTTATTCCTAACTAGTCTTACCCTGTGTTACACTTTTTTTTCCTTTTGCCAGTCTTGGAGCTTGAACTCTGGGACTAGGCACTGTCCCTGATCTCCTTTTTGCTCAACGCTACTAGCACTGTACCACTTGAGCCACAGTACCACTTCCATGTTGCACATTTTAATAGACGTTCTATGAAACTGCATCCCAGGCCAATTAATAGGAATTGTGGTTCCATATATTAAAGAGCGGAGACTTCCAAGGAGACAGTGAAAAAAAAAAAACAACTTAAATTTGGTCTGCCAAGCTTTTCCCAAATGTTTTTCTTCAATTGCCTATTGATACCTTGTGGAATTAAGTTTGGGTACTTTCTAGCCTGGTCCTTTGGCCTGGAATTTAAGCAGAGGGACTCGTATCCTTAGATGAAGGGTGAACCCTGCCTTACCACTATCACCACCATTTTCACCAACTCACTGATTTTTTGCTGCAAATCTCAGTGGGCTGAATGGTCTTACTGCCGTTATTAGAGTCACCTGGTGGTTAACTAGATCTGAGAACTTCCAGAAGCCTTTTTGTTAGGGAGTTCTTTTTTAGACCACTCCCTTCCACTCCTCTCTGATCTGTTCTGTTGCCATCTGAAACATTCAGCATCTTCAGGCCTGAATCCTGACTAGAAACATAATAACACACCTAGATAGAGTTAAAGAGGAAAGTGACAAGATAGGGTTTTATATGACATATTGGAAGACTTTGGCTTTCACTTTAGAAATGCATCCATTTTAACACTACAGTAAGAGGAAGAAACTCTTATTTATCTTTATAGATCTGTAACTAGAATTATGTCTAACACGCATTAGATGCAAAGTAGATTTGTATCAAATAGAATTAAAGCTGCTTCATTACCTAGTCCTCCCTTGAACCTTTGTTTTCCGTATGTAAAGCAGGTATGACAATTATACCTATGTGGATGATATCTTTGCAGGGTAATTATGATTCTATGATGTAAAGAATGAAAGATCAGGGGCTGGGAATGTGGCTTAGTAGTAGAGTGCTTGCCTAGCATGAACTTGATTCCTCAGTACCACATAAACAGAAAAAGGTGGAAGTGGTGCTGTGGCTCAAGTGGTAGAGTGCTAACCTTTTTTTTTCCATTATGGGGCTTGAACACTGGGTCTTCCGCTCTTCAGCTCAAGGCTAGCACTCTACCACTTGAGCCACAGTGCCACTTCTGGTTTTCTGGTGGTTTATTGGAGATAAGAATCTCAAAGACTTTCTTGCCCAGGCTGCTTTGAACCAAGATCCTCAGATCTCAGCCTCCTGAGTAGCTAGGATTACAGGCGTGAGCCACTGGCACCCGGCCAAGAGTGCTAGCCTTGAGCAAAAGAAGCTCTGGAACAGTGATCAGCCCCTGAGTTCAAGCTCCAGGACTAGCAATAAATAAATAAATAAATAGGAATGAAAGATCAGAAAGCCCTCCCTGCTTAAAACAGTTTGTTTAAATTCTCATCTTTTGTGGTTTCAGTGACTGAAGAACTGAGTTGGTTTTGTAATTGTGTTTAATAATGGTTGATCACTGATAATAAATCATAAAGATTTTTTGGGGGCCGGGGGTGGGGTCCGGTCGTGGGGCCTGAGCTCTGGGCCTGGGCGCTGTACCTCAAGTGGTAGAGCCACCTTCCCAGCCCTCATAAAGGTTTTAAACGTATAGTTTTCCCAGAACTCAGTGAAGCTTCATTTACTTTAAATGACACAAAGTAGCCTATACCTGTACCTAGTTTTTCACAGATAGTCCTGGCTGTCATATCACTTTCGTGGCAGTTATCTTTTATTTTTTGTAAATCTTTTAGAATATTACATATACAAAGCTGCTAGTGATTTATTCTGTAAGTCAGTGTTTCTCATGTGCTCCTTAGTGGGTGGTGGTTGTGAAAATCTGCTTTTGTTTAAGAACCCAAGGAGATCATAAGCTGAAAAGAATGAGTACTAGAGATGTAAATGTCATGTGATCATCCCTTCCCCCAGCCTTAGTTATTATCTGAGCAAGCAAGACACATTTTAGTCCTTCTCTCATAAATCAAACGCTAGCTCTTTAATCTCTTCTCTCTGTCATTGTCTGAATTCCCTCCAATATGTGAGTAAGGCCCTTCGCCCCCCTCTAACTTACCCAACAAGTTGTCATTTGAAGCCCCAAAGTGACCTTCTAGATTTATGTGCTTCTCTGTTGAATTGCCCTGTGTGGCTGACCTGGATCAATGGATTGCTCATACTGCCTCTAGAAATACCATAAGCATAGGGTTTATGCATGTTCACATTCTTTCTTAGACTCTAGCTTCATGTTATAAAGGAGCATCTTCTTCCTGTTCCTTTTTCCAGAATAATGTCTGATCTACCAATCTGTGGGGATTTGCCAACTATAAAAGATTGTGTAAAGCGAAGTAACAAGACCATAGTTATTACTATCTGTTCTTTGTCTGTAAGAAAAATAGTAATAAGCTTTGATAGATCTCTTGTAAAGGTAATGGCCTGTTTAATAAATAACTATACTCATTACTTGTATTTGCACTTCATTCCCAAGGCTAACGATTGGTCTCTTTAATAAAATGTTAATAATTTAATAATTCCTGATGGTAACTTTGGTTAAATAAATATGTCAAATTGAGTAATTTTTTAAAATTCTTATGTAACTATATAATTGTTCAAACCAATATAATCGTGCTCTCAAAACTTAATGAAGAGCATCTGACATCTTATAGGAATTCCTTTGAAAATGAATTTGTTTATGCATAGGATGCAAATGTGCAACAAGGTTGAAAAGAAATTGCCTGACTCAAACTAAACAGAAATGTATTGACATACAGCAATTACATCACATCTCTAGGGATGGAACTCAGGCATTTGTATTTCTTCAACTTTCAGTGTGATTCTAGAAGTGAAGCCAATATTGAAAATCATTGCATTAGACAGTTTTAGGCTCTATAGCAACAAAATTTCTAAACTGCTTTCCTTTTGCCATGCTTTGATAACCCCCAAAACAACAGATGATTAGAGCTATTATGCCTTCCAACCTAACAATGTAAAACCATCTTCTTTTTTCTCTAAAGTCCAATTGGATGAGGTCTATCCTATAATTCCTGACCAACGCCCTGAAATCATCATATTCCCTTTCGACCTCCCAATTCTCATTATGAGTACCGTAAAATTACATGCCTTGGCACACAACATAGTCTGTGTTTATAGTATATGATATTCTTTCACAATTGTGAGCATTCCAAAAGTGTGAAGTGTTAAAAACTCCTTTTTTTTTCTTTCTAGGGAAATGATATTGATCCTGAAGCAGTTAAAGGTGGAGTGTTAAGAGTTGGAAATAAGAGCTGTGAGAATATACACTCACATTCTGAAGCCGTCTTATGTACAGTCCCCAATGACCTGCTGAAATTGAACAGTGAGCTAAATATAGAGGTGGGGTTCCTAAATTCCTCTCATGATGTAAATAAAGATGCCCATGTAATTATGTCACTTGTAGGCTTAAAATAATTCATTAAAGCTCATTTGTGTGTTGGCTTTAGCTCATCAGCTCAGCCTCAATTCCTAGCTGTTATATTTTTGGGGGGGGAAGGGGGGTCGGTTGTGGGGCTTGAACTCTGGGCTTGAGCACTGTCCCTGCGCTCTTCAGCTCAAGGTGAGCGTCTCTGCTTGAGCCACAGTGCCACGTCCGGTTTTCTTATTCAAAATAAGAATATGACGGACTTTGATGCCTAGGCTGGCTTTAAACTGTGATCCTCAGATCTCAGCCTCCTGAGTAGGTAGGATTACAGGCATGAGTCACTGTTATTTTTTTTAAGTGACTTTTTAAAAATATGTTTCCTTCCCTAAGCTTAGCTGGGTAAGTTTCAGAAGGCCTTTCTACTCACACTCACACTGGCCAGCAAGGGAATAAAGACACATCTAAGAATGTCACTTCCCCTGCCTCTTACCAGCCCAGGAGGCCACAAATACATGGAACCTTTTGAGTAAAAGAAGATATAGACACTGGACAAAGTAAGACAGCTAAATCAGATAACCTTGTACCAGAATGATTTTTTTTCATTATTCTTAATAGCTTTCTTTCAATACAGTTCACAAACCATACAATTTACCCATTTTAAAAATATAATTCAAGGGCTGGGAAGGTGGCTCAGTGGTAGAATGCTTGCCTTGCATGCATGAGGCCCTGGGTTTGATTTCTTAGCACCTTATAAGCAGAAAAAGCTGGAACTGGCGCTGTGGCTCAATGGTAGAGCACTAGCCTTGAGCTGAAGAGCTAAGGGACAGTGCCCAGGCCCAGAGTTCAAGCCCCATGACTGACCAAAAAAAAAATATATATATATATACATATATATTATTCAATGGGTATATAATGTACTTTATTAATTTATTGAAATTATAGTAATATATATAAGATTTGCCATGTCAAACATTTTAAATGTACAATTGGTAACATGAATTGCATTCATAGTATTGCATAATCATCACCATTGTCTAGTTCCAAATCTTTCTCAGTGCCCTAAGCATAAGTTACATAACTACTAAGCAATATGTGCATGACCATATGAAAATTAGAGACTGAATAGTGAAATCATAATTGGAATTTCAGAATGAACCACATGTACTAAACATCATAAAATATTAGAACTGGGAGGGACCTAAGAGATTTCTTCCATATGTCAAAACAAATGAAAATATTAAGAGACTTGATTTTCACATAATTACAGGATTATTAGTCTCTTAAGAGAGGTCATTCCTTCTTTGGCCATAGGACAGAATTAATATCTTACTATTGATTTCTAATTCTATGGTTTATTTTATATTGTATTACAATTATATATTTCTAATGTACCCCAGTTCCTCAAGATCAGGGACTGTTTTGTATTTATCTTTCTAACCCTAATACCTAGGTACAAATAGAAACAGCTAGGTGTCATAGAAGTACCTTGTGTCAGTATTCCCTAATTATTTGAATAATAAGGCAGACTTAAGGAATCTCCTATTACTCTGAAGGCAGCCATTCCATTTTCAGAATGATGATTAGTGGGTGGGCTTTGGGACAGAGAAATCATAATTCCCCTGAATAACATATCTTGTGTCTCCCATGGCTGAACTCTGACTTTTTATCTTTATTTCTAGTGGAAACAAGCAGTCTCTTCAACTGTCCTTGGAAAAGTGATAGTTCAACCAGATCAGAATTTCACAGGATTGATTGTTGGTGTTGCCTCAATATCAATAATACTCTTACTAGTATTCGGACTTTTCTTGTGGATGAAAAAGAGAAAGCAAATTAAAGGTGCGCTTTTGTTGTTCTTTGTCTTAAAAGTTGTGTTATGAATATAGCCGATATAGTTTAATATTGTCATCTACTCATGTGGGCGCTCTTGGAGGCAATCATAAAACTGTCTAGTTCTAGACCCTGGGCCAAAGTCTAATAGAATTGTGATAGCCAAATCTTTAACAAGTTCTTTCTTTCTGTTTCAAGATCTTGGCAGTGAATTAGTTCGCTATGATGCAAGAGTCCACACTCCTCATTTGGACAGGCTTGTAAGTGCGCGAAGTGTAAGCCCAACTACAGAAATGGTTTCCGATGCATCTGTAGACTACCGAGCCACTTTTCCAGAAGGTATGTTTCAGACTACTGCTCTGAGAAATACCTACACATATACCACCACAGTTTGTGGCATTGTTGATTGTTTTTGCTTTTTCCTTCATACAGTTTTATAAAAGCAGAAAAACATTTGCCTCTCCAAAGAACTATTTAATTTGCCAAAGAGTTACATGGCTCTTACTTTAAAATGAACTCATGTCTACATTGTAATTTTAGTGTCTGTAAGCTCTCTTCTCACGAACAAAATTTAATTTTATACCCTTTGATCAAAGGACTAAGCATGATGCTGTGGAACTCTCACGTCATTTTTAGCAACTCAGAAACAGTTAAGCTACAAAATATATTTTAATTTAAATACATAACTGCTACTTTTTTATCATTGAACCCTACACATTTGAAATAACCATTAATAATCTTTTGAGGTACTCTCTGTGAACACACCCTTTTACCTACAACATTCTAGGACTTAAATATATTTTGAATCTTATCTGAGTAAACCTCAGTTATGCTATTAAAGAAGGAGGGGCCAACATCATCTGTTTTGCAAAACAGTAGGGCTAATAATGGTCAGGTTCACCAAAGCAGTTCACGTTGTTTTATTTAAAACTCTCCTGGTCAAAGCAACATGTCTGTATTGTATCAGCTCCATTATCTTTAGAAACTACAGGACGTGAGTCAAGTACAAGCATTTCCCTAGTTGAATATTTACCTTTGGACAAATAAAGTGAGTCACAGACAGTTTTGGATACTGGAAAGTTAGAAGTTGCTCATCCAAACAAGTACAAGAGTAATAAGGCACTGAACATTTAAACATTTTTTAATGGTTGTGTCCTCATTATTTTTGAAAATTCTTTACTTCTAGAGAGATTTAGTGTCTATGCTCATAGGATTCCATTTCCCATTAGAAATCCGTTCCTTTAAAAATATATATATGGGTAAATAATGAAACCTAGCTTACTGTTTTCAAATTTAGATCTAATTTCAGTATTCTGTATTCATATATAGTCGTTCTAACTTGAGACAAAAAAAAATCACAAATATTCTGTTAAAAAACAACAGCTATGCTAATCGTTTGAATTCCTTAGCAAACTTTGGTTACTATGCCTAAGAAAAATGAGTTCTTCCTCTTACCTATCACGGAAATGATAGTGAATGAAGCGAGAGAGAGAGAGGGAAGAATGAGGATATGTATAGGCAGAACCTAACCATGAGAAAACTGAAGAGCTTTTCTCTCTCTTAGTGGTAGATCGTCTTGACAGTTGTTCCATAGAGGCTGAGCATCATGTATTGGGGATCTAAACTAGCTTCTGTGCCTTTTTTGGACTTAGCTAAGGAGTTAATAGAATTTTCCTTCCAGAGGACACTTGTCATGTATTTGACAAAGGATTTTCATCAATTCTTACACCTCTGAGAATTCCTACCTATGAACTCCTGGTGCAAATGTTTGGGAAATAAAGGTAAACGTCCAAATATAAAGAGGCTCATTTTGTTTTTAGTCCTCCAAAGAAGGTTTGGAGAACCTAACCCTTTGGAAACAAAGAAAAAAGCATTGACCTAGGCTTTTCTCTTCCTTTCCCTACCCAACATTTCAGGTACTTCCTGGATTCTCTGGATTCTTCCTGTAAGGTTGAATCTGTCTTATTTGCAGCTAGTGTCCATTATTATGAATGTAGGTGACTCACATCTTTTCTGATACCACGTTTTGAGATTTAATGTTCTAACCAAGTATCTATTTTTAACCAAACTCTTCACTGTACAAAAAATATCAAAAATGCTTATGTAGGGTTAGAAGTGATGAAAGTGCTATCAGCTTTCTTCCATCAAGTTCAAATTCTCTTTTATTTCAAACTATTATCTCTTGAGGCCAATAGGGAATCACCACGTAACCCTCTGTGTTACATGCCACTCTTCAGAACCTTGCCTCTGTAGTTTGTCTTTCAGTTGATTGCTGTGGTTATGCTTCCTCCACGTTGGAGTGTGTAGATGTAGTAGAAAGGGCAAACCAGGTGGTTTGTTCAGTCTTCTCTGCTTCACTGGACATTAAAAAAGACTCTTCAAATCCCACTTCCTTAACCATGAAATAAAAAGAGAAAACTTCTCCTTAGACAAGAGTACTTTCCTGAAGTTCTTATAGAGCTTTGGTTGTAAAGATCAATTTATAGGATCACTGATTTCTATCCAAATGTCCTCAGCTATGTAGTGAGATGGTACACTAACCTAGTACAAGCTACCTGCTCCAGCGACAGCATTCGATGTGTAGCCATCTTTCACAAGGTGAAAAATTTTCACAGTTGTTTTATAAATGTATATATAAACTATTGAATATCCTTGACCCAAAACTTTGAGATCAGAACTGCTTTAAAATCTAAAACATCAGTAGACTGAGACCTGGAAAATTCAAGTTTCAAGTCCAGACAGAAAACTCTGCAAGACTCCACCTCCAGTTAATCAGCAGCAAAATGCTGGACTCGAGATATGGCTCAAGTGCTAGAACACCAGGTGTGAGCAAGAAGGCCCGTAAGAGCATGAGGCCCTGAATTCAGTCAGTACAAGCACATACATAAAAATTTCAACATGAGCAATATGTTGGTACTCAAAATATTTTGGATTTTGAAGCATTTCAGATTTGAGGTATAAAGATCAGATATGCTCAATCTGTATATGTAATTATATTTCAGATCACAAATACTCAACCAGTGAAGCCTGTGCAGAAACTCTAAAATCTGAGATCATCCAAAAATCGAAACCACTTTTTCTTGTTTCAAGCATTGTAAATCGAAGTTACTGGATCTATATGTGTTTATTTCTATTTTGTCATATAAATTTTCCTTTTCTGGGAATCCATATGGGTTTTGTATAACTATTTCCACTAATAAATACTAGTGTCTCAAACGTCATCTTTCTCGTTTCTTACATTGAGCTGGACTGTTGTGAGACTGGGCCATTGTTTAGTCTCTAACTTTGCTATTTTCCAATCTTAAGGATATAATATATATATAACTAAATGTTAAGCTTGGCTTTTAGCTTATTAATTAAAACCTAAAGAAACTGAAGGTAAGCAAGATTGCAAAGATGACACTTAGTCTTCTTTGAAAGAAAATTTGTAAACATTTTCTAAAATGGTTGTATGAATAAGTCAGTATCTTTTCCTAACTTATTACCATTTTTCACAAACCAGTTTCTTTGTAAAGGTTCTTTCTGGCCCATTCAATAATATAACCATCATTTCTTTAATTTTAAAACACTAGCTTCCCTATTGATTCAGCTTGTTTTTGCAGTCTCGATTGAGTTTTCACTGCTGTTTTTGATTTGCTTTATCTTGCAGAACAATTTCCTAACTCCTCCCAGAATGGGTCATGCAGACAAGCACAGTATCCTCTGACAGACTTGTCCCCCATCCTCAATAGTGGAGACTCTGATATATCTAGTCCATTACTGCAAAATACTGTCCACATTGACCTCAGTGCTCTAAATCCAGAGTTGGTCCAAGCAGTCCAGCATGTGGTGATTGGGCCTAGCAGTCTGATTGTGCATTTCAATGAAGTCATAGGAAGAGGTAAGTCTTTCCATTCAGCTTTGGGTTAAGTACCATTTTCCAGTAAGGATTTTATCTTCTGTCTTTGCAGATTAGGGACGCAGACAATGGTGAAGGTTACTAACAACACTGATAATGAGTGCATGTGGTTTCTGTTCTGCAAAAATGCAGCCCTGCAGATCACATCCATGGGGACTTGCCCTTGTGCATGGAAGCAATTGGATTCCTTCCCACATATATTAGAAATAAATCCACCACTTCCTCTTCTTTCTCAGACTAGCAACTGTAATTTCATAGAAAGCATCATTTACTTCCTTTTTAAGTTCCAACATTTTCACTCACAACTCCCTGTAGTCTTTCTTTATCCCAAGAACAGTGTTGAACTCTTTGAATTCCTGGTTCATAAAGCAGTTTGTACTCCACTGGACAGCATGAAGAGGCAGGGAATTTATAGCATTCCCCTAATCTGAAATGACATATATCATCTGCACGATGCACTCCAATCTCTTTATACAAAGGGGAATGAATATTTGTAATAAGCCAGCCAAGGCAGCAATAACAGTTAGCATAAACAATATTTGAGGAAATATTTAGCAAGGAAAGAAACTAACCAGAAGTCAAGACATGAACTCCACACTTCTTTTTTTTCCTCTTTCTAAATTTTTTTTTATCCTTCCTAACAATTGGCCACTGATCCCTTTTATTCTATGTGTACTGTAGGAGATTGTGCAGGTATCTGCCAGCTTGATACAGGAGAGATGGAAGGAATTATTTGCCTTACATGAACAGGAAGTCTTCTCCTTTGCCTGTGACTGTGTGCCCACATTCCCTATCCCACACTCCAGGGTTTAATCCTGAGCAAGCTGCTTATTTTCTCAGAGAAACTTCACTGTTCACAAGCCTGTTTCCATACCTCACATGAAAGTAACATACAGTTGTATTATCTGCCTAAAAATTCAGTAATTACACCAATTTTAGAGTGTGTACCCTTGCTAATTATGCTCTACTTCTAATATCTGATGTAAAATTACAACTTTTGAAAATCAAGAAAGGTGCTAAAATAACAATCACTTCTCTAGAAGTAATAATCAGTAACCATCTAGAAATATTAATTAATATTTATTTATGTTTGTCTTCAGGGAGATAGGGACACTTATTACCATGAGTTTTATTTTATTGATCTTTGTGTTAGAAGAGGGCAGGTTAATGCCTGACACTCATATACTAAGCACTGAGGCATTTTTGGCTAGCTGAGAGAATTAACTGAATGACTTACACAGCTACCAGACATTTGGCACCTTTGGGAAAAAATTATTGCCACTGGATGAAAGGCTGCCATTGGGAAATGATGTGGTTAAAGCCAGAAGGAAATGCATGAAATGAGTCACAGTGAGCTTGTTTCATTTAGGCAACTTGCCTTTTCAGTTTCTGCCAATCTGGCTTACATATTAACCAGTGACTAACGGGGGAAATCCTTATTCTATAAGACTAAAATTATTTCTAGTATTTTCTCATTTCAGTTTACTGGAATATGGGGAGCTTCTTTTATTAAAAATGTTCATATTTTAAAAATATTATTTGATCCCTAAAAATACTTTTAGATTCCTATTTTTTTCTGCCATGATTCAATATTTTATAACAGTCTTTAATAATATTCATGTCAGCTGAAGTTTCTACTATCTATTAAATAGTAATATTGCATACACCATTGAAGCAAATCTGTATAAATAAAGATGTGTGTGTATATATACATGCACATGCAAATATACATATAGAAAATACACACACTTGATAGGTCATCCAAGTATCAAAACCAACACATTTAAAAGAATTTTATTTTATTGTAAAGTGATGTACAGAGGGGTTTCAGTTACATAAATAAAGTAATGAGTACATTTTTCCCTCCCCCCCCCACATTTTTTTGTTATACAGAAAAAAGAGGTGCAGGTCATGAAGGGCCTAATAAATAATTATTGGATAATTAAACATTATACAGTTGTAATCAAGTTTTTTCCTTCACACAGGGCATTTTGGCTGTGTTTATCATGGGACCTTGTTAGACAATGATGGCAAGAAAATTCACTGTGCAGTGAAATCCTTGAATAGTAAGTTTCACTTTACTAAACAATGAAGGATACTTGGATGGTGTGTAACTTATGGTGGTGTATAATAAGTAGTATAAAATGAAAGTGTTGACTAGCACTTTTCCTTATAGAAAAAAATAAGAACTATTGCTTCAATTATGGTCTAATTCTGAAAAGTTGTTTGATCTAAACATTTATGAAGATATTCTCTCTGAAATTACACACACACCCCTCAAAGATCTCATAAGTTAGGGTATAGGAGAAATAAGGATCTGGTGTGAACCATCATTTAACTATGTTGGGCCTATAATATTTGTTTTGAAAATGACATTTATGGAAACTGTTGGAAGCATGCTGGCACATAAAGTAGTAATGACTCATTTTACCCAGAGGCATTACTGTAATTATTTTTCAACCACAATTTTCCATTAAGAAGATTTTAAAAAATAAGACAGAAGAAAAATATGCTGGCAGAAAATCATAAGCATGGTATACCTCACTGATTCGCATGTTCAGGGAATGAGGTGTTCCAAATAAATTAAATTTCCTCCCTTTTGATGCTGGAATATTGCTTAAAAATTTAGCTCTTACTAAGAAAATCTTTTTGCACACTCATTTAAGAAACAGGGAATTCCAAACATACTAACCTTTATCAATAACTGAGAACCATAATTCTGGCCATAAATTACAATACTATATAGCCAATATATTTGTATACTACAACTTCTCTGGCACTGCTTTTGTTGACAAATCTCCCATTTCTAATTTTTGTTTTGTATTTTTTCTTTTTTTTTCTTTTTTTTGTCAATCATGAGGCTTGAACTCTGGGCCTGGGCACTGTCCCTGAGCTCTTCAGCACAAGGCCTTGAATTATGGTTCTGAGTGATCTGAGGATAACGGTTCAAAGCCAGCCCAGGTAGAAATGTCCTTTGAGACTCTAATCTCCAATTAACCACCTCAGATCTCAGTCTCTTGAGTAACTAAGATTACAGGTGTGAACCACCCAGAGTCCCCTCCCATTTCTAATTTTCTACCTACAGTTTTCAGCAGCCTTAAAACCATTAGCCAGCCAGGCACCAGTGGCTCACGCCTGTAATCCTAGCTACTCAGGAGGCTGAGATCTGAGGATCACAGTTCAAAGCCAGCCTGGGCAGGAGTGTTGGTGAGACTCTTATCTCCAATTAACCACTGGAAAACCAGAAGTGGTGCTGTGGCTCAAGTGGTAGAGCACTAGCCTTGAGCTGAAGAGCTCAGGGACAGTGTCCAGGCTCAGAGTTCCAGCCCCCAACCAACATTTCATTTTACATATTTATTATATTAAAATAATTAAATGAACAAATAGAAAAACTTGCCACAAGATACACTATTGCCACACCATTTCAGCCATTTTAAATGCAAATCTTCATGCTAAGCACCATTCTCTAGAGTTTATTTTGTTGAATATCCAATTACAGAGTAAGTAAAGGGACAGTCTACATAAAACGTAACAAAGTTACAAGTAATTAAGTCTTACAGTCAATAAATGTGGTTCATAGGAATTCTTATGCCCTGCCATTTGTATTCAGGACAATCCTAACACCAAGAAATATTTCCTTCTTGGTGTACATGGATTACTGTTCAGTCCATATTGACTTCCATTGTCTTTTCCAGGTATTTAGGTATTTAGATACTTATTATTTAGGTATTTATGATAATTGGTCTTCAAATTCTTCTAGTGTAAAAAGAAAGTATGACCGACCACTATTTTCATAAGTAAGGTTTTTGAGATAGTCATTTGTCAATGGATTTTTTCATGGTTTATACATTGGTAGTAGAATTGAGCATTTGCAACAAATACCATGTGGCCCATGAAACCAAACTTATTTACTACTGACCCATGCAGAAAAAATTGCCAGTGTGTACCCTAGAAAATCACTACAGAAATAGACTGGTCTGCTGCTCTATCAGTGTTCTGTACAAGACCAACTGATTGGACTCTATTTTACCAAAGAGATTGTGAGTGATAGCTGGAAGGCACAGCTCAAACGATATCCTAAAATGTGGTCCGTTAATGCATGCTGAATACTTTTGAACTGAATGAAATAGTCTCTTCCTAATTGTTCTTTTTCTTTCTCTACTTTCTCCCTTAAGCTGAGACATAAGAACTGAAATTTCCCTTCTCCAAGGCAGCTCATAGAAACTAAGACCACTCTCATTCAAAGCCATCAATAAGCCCTTGAAAAGCTACACTAACATTTCTTCCTTTCTTTCCTATAGCTGGCCATAAAGCAATTCCTTGACCTAGCTTGGTCAGAAATTACCTCATTTTAAAAGAGATCTTGTCCTATCGTCTAGAAGAAGGACTGCCACATAACATAACAAACAAACCCCATGTGTTTCCCATTCAGTGGTATGCTAGTTGTCCAATCACATTTCTATCAGCTGTCCATTCTCCATCAAATCCAAGATATGGCTCAGTGGTAGAGTGCCACCTAGTGAGGCCCCGAGTTCAAACCCAAGTACCACCACACACACGCACACACGCACACACACACAAGTAAGAAAGAAAACAAGAGACCATTTATGTTGCCTGTGTGCTTAAGTCTTCATTTCTGAAGCCTTCTCTATCTTGCAAAACTTATGCCTAAAGAAATGTTATGCTTTTCGGTTGTGCTTTCCATTTCTTACCTGTCTTTAGCTTTAAGATTCTCAGATGTGACCCTTGTAGTAGATAAGGAAGTGACCACATCTTTCCACCTCTACAACACCATTCATTCAGGTGTATTGTTAAAATAAATAAATAAAACACTCTGAGGTTGAGGCTTCAAGACAAGTACAACTGCTGCTGTGTTTCATTGCTCTTCCTATCTGATTTTGACAAAATATTGTTCTGTAATGAAGTTAATGTTGCCACCACTGTATTTCTCAGGAATCACGGACATAGGAGAAGTTTCCCAGTTTCTGACGGAGGGAATCATCATGAAAGATTTCAGCCATGCTAATGTTCTCTCGCTCTTGGGAATCTGCCTTCGAAGTGAAGGGTCTCCACTTGTGGTGTTACCTTTCATGAAACATGGAGATCTTCGGAATTTCATTAGAAATGAGACTCATGTAAGTGTGTTCCCAAGCTTACTAACTGGTGTACTAACAGTAAGCCAGCCATCCCATCAAAGTATGCCAGCTTTGAGTCAAGTGTATTTGGCTATACATGAGTTAAAACCCAGGGTCCCCACTTGCTAGACTGGTGCTCTCTCACTTGAGCCTCACCTCCAGCACTGCTCACTGCTGGCTGTTTTCGAGATGGAATCTAGCAACCTTTTCTGCCTAGGCTAGACTTGGATGACAATCCTCCAGATATCTGTCTTCTGAGTAGCTCAGAGTACAGATGTGAGCTTCCAGAACTGAGCTCTGGGACAATAACTCTTAATTGCCCAGCAAGCAACTTTGTTTTGCCCTCCCTCTATTTGGTACCCTAAGGTCATCTTTGAGTGCCTGCTGTGTTCCAGACAATAAGCACAGCAGAGGAGGACCAGATGCAGAGAAAACTCTAGGAGACCTAATTACAAATGAATTCTTTACCACCCACTCTCCTACCTAAGGACCTTCATATTTGCTACTGCCCCTGCCTGGAAGACTGTTCCCTCAGATATCTGCATATTCATTCTCTCATGTCCTTCAGCCCTTTGCCCCAGTGTTTTTGTCAAAGCTGTTTAAAATTGTCCTGGGCCTCTCTCATCCTCATGCCTTCACTCTGTCTTCTCTTCCTCTATCACGCTTAGCAGCGCACCGAGTCTGAGCTGTGCAATTTGGTAGACATAAACCACCTGTGAAAAGTGTTTATGTGGGGGCTGGGAAGGTAGCTCAGTGGTAGAGTGCTTGCCTTGCATGCATGAGGCCCTGGGTTCGATTCCTCAGCATCACATAAGCAGAAAAAGCAGGAAGTGGCACTGTGGCTCTAGTGGTAGTGTGCTAGCCTTGAGCTGAAGAGCTAGGGGACAGTGCCCAGGCGCAGAGTCCAAGCCCCTCAACTGACAAAAATAAATAAATAAACAAATAAATAAATAAATGTCTGTGTCAAATCAAAGTATATGCAGAATACACTCCAGTTGAGTGATAAAAGATTAAATATCTGATCATCGCTAACATTGTTTGCATGTTGAAACTGTTGTAAATTTTTCACCATTTTAAAACGTTTTAAATATGGTTACTGAAAAAAATTTAAATTATAAGCATGGTTTGCTTTATACTTCTAGTAAAAAGTGCTGTATTTGACAACAAACAAATAAATAATATTTCCATGTGGATGGATGGATGGATGGATGGATGGATGGATGGATGGATGGATGGATGGATGGATGGATGGATGGATATAGATTTGTCTGTGTTTTGTTTACCTCTATGGCTCCATCACCTAAAATTGTTGTTAGTCCAGAAGATATTTGGTAGATTAATGAGCTCAAGGTTATAAAAGAAGATCACAGTTTCTTGCAAGTAGCAGTTTTCTTTATGACATTTATGTCAAGATCTAAAGAGTGAAGGGAGCAAGCTTTGGTCAGACAAGGGCCAAAGAGGACAGGAATCCCCACCACTGAGTTTAGTTGAAGGCCTTAGGTTCCGTTTTGGTACCTGCCTTCCAGGTCTCAGTGGAAATCAACAGAGTAGTTTTCTTCTTGATCAAAGACTTTATAAACAGGGGATCAAGTTCTCAAAGAAAATATGCTCAAGGATAGCAGAGAAATAGTTTGTATTCAACCAAAAGAATAAGTCATTTCCTGTGAGTGAATTTTTGCAGATAAGGTGAACTCAACTTGCAAAAGCACAAAGCTACCCTGACATCTCATTTTAACTCTTATCATTACCGATGACTGACTTAATAGATGTAACTGTATTACTTTCTCTAGAATATCATTACTCCAGTACTTGTCCCTTTAAAACGCAGGAAATCAACACTGATATGCCCCTTAACTCTGATACCTTAAAAGACAAGCTTACATCACAAGACACAGCTTCACCATACACTTTGGGGCAAGGGCTGCAATCTTTCTTGTGCCAGTCTCTGTGTCCACAAGTAAGGTTCCCTTCTGTCCACATCCCCTCCAGCATCTGTTGTTAGAGTTCTTGATTATAGCCATTCTAACTGGAGTGAGGTGGTATCTCAATGTTGTTTTGATTTGCATTTCTTTTATGGCTAGGGAGGTTGAGCATTTCTTCATGTGTCTATTGGCCATCCTTCTTTCTTCTTCAGAGAAGTTTCTCTTTAAGTCATTAGCCCACTTATTTATTGGGCAGTTGTTTCTTTGAGGATTTGTTGTTGGGGGATTTAAGTTTTTGAGTTCCAAGTATATTTTAGATATGAGACCCTTGTCTGTTGTATGGCTAGTGAAGATCTTCTCCCAATCCGTGGGCTTTCTACTGATCTTGCTTTGCTGGTGATTCTTTTTCCCCTCACTCCTCTGACTGTCTCCAGGGCTTCACTGTGGACTTGCATAACCTGTGTTCCCTTCTTCTTGAAAGCTGTAGCAAACTATTTTTTCAATGGCAGTTGCCTCATGCTGTTATGGTACCTGCAGAATAATAAAGCCCATGTTTTAACACGCCTTCAGTTTCCCATCTGAAAAATAGAGTCCCTGCCATCTACATTACAGAAGTGTTTAAGAATTAATCAAAATTCATCAAAACATCTAGTCTGGTGTTTTGCTTATAATAGATACTTAATAAGTACTTGTGGCTATCAATAGTATCCAATTATTGGGGGTTTTTTTGTTTTGTTGTTTTGTTGTTTTGTTTATCAGTCCTGGGACTTGAACTCAGGGCCTGGGTACTATCATTGAGCCTCTCTGTGCTCAAGGCAAGTGTTCTACCACTTGAGCCACTGTGCCACTTCTGGCGTTTTCTGCTTATGTGGTGCTGAGGAATCGAACCCAGGGCTTTATGCATGCTAGGCAAGCACTCTACCACTAACCCACATTCCCAGACCCCAAATTATTGCTTGAAACAAGCATTATTATTATCATCATCATCATCATCATTATGATTAATATTATTAAACAGGTGTGATGGTACATGTTTGTAATGTCAGCTCTTGGGAGGCAGAGGCAGGAGGATGGAGAGTTGAAGGTCAATCTGAGCTACATAGTGGGATTCTTGTCTCAAAATAATAACTAATAGTTCATAGAAGCACTTCAGAAGAAGCTCTGCTTCCGAAGTATGAATTTTCAAACCAAGATCAGCATTAGAATAATGGGTGCTCAGTTTATTCTTTTCCAATTCTCTTTGATTGCAGAACCCAACTGTAAAAGACCTTATAGGCTTTGGTCTCCAAGTAGCCAAAGGCATGAAGTATCTTGCAAGCAAAAAGTTTGTCCACAGAGACTTGGCTGCAAGAAACTGTATGTAAGTATACGGATGTCAGTGTCCAGAGTACAAATTAAGCCTGGGAGAGTGTGTTTCTCCCTATTCGAGGGTAGTGAGAGTGCTTTCTCTTCTTATGTAAAAATCTTTTTATTTCCTCCACAGTTAAATGCAGGCCTGTAAACCCTGGGGGAGGTGGGTGGGGCTTTTGGACTTTACCACGTCCAGAATTTAAAAGGTTGCTCTCTATAGGGGATCTTACACAGCTGTTGTATACTTTTGCTTTTCTGGGTCCTTCCCACTGGTAGCCCCTCCAATGTTGTGGTTTCACACTGTGTTAGTGCTTGGGAGGGAGAATTTGATCTTCAGCATTTTATGGTGAAAAGAAAGGGGGCTGGTAAGACAAATACCAATATGCATTACTTCCCCCAGAGTAGACTTGAAGTCAGCCTGCAGAAGCCTTACCAAAAATGGTATTTGAGAATGAATATACAAAGAACTTTTATTTGTGTCTGGCTGCCTGGCTGTATAACACAACAGTCAACAGTTTGTAATTGATTCAGTGCTTTCTCACTCGCACAGCACTGATGCATGACTGATGGTATGTGTGAATGAAGGAGCTGTGCTATTAATCTCCTACCTTAGTTTTGCTTTAAACAAAAATAACACCATATAAGCCAACTTGAACAAAGGATACATAGCCCCAATTAGCAGAAACTTATTTTATTAAACCTGATTCTTTTCTTATTTGCTTTACTGTGTATCCTAATCTCAAGGGTGGGGATTTTATATACTGACACAGCTTATTTGAGAAGGAAGAGTAAAAAAATAATAATCCTACGTCATGTCTCTCCCATGGTACTGTGCATTGCTGACAGGTTGACAAGTGAAGATTAGTGTTTGGATTTGGGCATTCTATTTGCAACGAAGGAAAGCTGGGAGCTGTACCTTTTCTCCAGATATATATTAAAGAAAAACAAATTTTCCTATGCCATACCATTCAGAATGTTTCTGTTGAATTCATAATGTAATTGTCAAGCATTTTTATTCAAAAGCTCCACTATAATTTAGTGTTAGTCAATAGGCCAGATGAAGCTCTGGCTTCAAAAGTTATGAATTTCAAATATTAAAGTCCCTCATTCAGATCTATAGATATTTAGCCTCATGGTAAATTATTTGCTTTCAGTCACCAATAATAAGTTTTGCCCTTTGTGTAGGTTGGATGAAAAATTCACTGTCAAGGTTGCTGATTTTGGTCTTGCCAGAGATATGTATGATAAAGAATACTACAGCGTACACAATAAAACAGGCGCAAAACTGCCAGTGAAGTGGATGGCCTTGGAAAGCCTGCAAACCCAGAAGTTTACCACCAAATCAGATGTGGTAATGTATTTGTCAGTCCTGAATTTCTCTTCTTTTTCTTTTATACCTATAGTTTCATGGCAAAATAATATTTTTAGAAGTTGAGCACCAATAACTTCAGTTATCTTCAGATGGGAAACTGGAGATAATTGTCTGATAGGTAACCATAATATATGTTCATAAATTCCCAAAAGTACTCGCAGCATAGCACACTATGCTGAGCTACATCTCCAGGCTTTCGTTGCCTTTTTATTATTTTTTTTTTTTTTGTCAGTAATGGGGCTTGAACTCAGGGCCTGGGCACTGTCCCTGAGCTTTTTTGCTCAAGGCTAGTGTTCTACCACTTTGAGCCACTTTGAACCACTTCTGGTCTTCCAGTGGTTAATTGGAGATCAGAATCTCACAGACTTTCCTGCCTTGCTGGCTTCCAGTCAGGATCCTCGCCTCACAGCCTCATGAGTAGCTAGAATTACAGGTGTGAGCTACTGGCGAGCTTTCATTACCTTTTAAAGGCACCGTCACCATCACCAGCAGCATCGTATGGCAAAAGTCAAGGCTAGCTTCCTTTCTTCTTTTCTTTCTATCTTTCTTTCTTTCTTTTAATTATTGTGCCAGTCCTGGGATTTGAACCTAGGGCCTGGGCACTGTCCCTCTGTCACTGAGCTTTTTTGCTCAAGGCTAGCTCCCTACCACTTGAGCTAAAGTTCCATTTCTGGTGGTAATTGAAAGAGGGACTTTCCTGCCCAGTTGGCTTTGAACTACAATCCTCCGATCTCAACCTCCTGAATAACCAGGATTATAGACATGAGCCACAGTCTACTAGCTCAGAAGAGGGTTTTGAAAGTTCAGAAGCAATTATTGAGAAGAAACTGCAAGTATGAAGTGAAGGAGACAAGCAGAGCAAAACCCAAGAGAAGAGACCCAAAAACCAGAGCAAGAGCAACTTCCATACAACTGTGATATCTGGGAGGTAGAGAAACATTGAGGTTTCCATCCTTCAGGATAGCAACTGTGGTAAATGAATACAAAATGGGCAGAATATAATATTCATAGAGGAAGTGAACTTAAAAAGAGAAGTGTTGGCAGCTAGTGAGACATGAAGGAGTGTGGTATTGGGAAGTGAGGTGTCATATTTTTTTCCTTCCTGTGAGTCAGCAAGAGGGCTAGGTGTGTCCCCTACTGACTGGTTAAGTCTTCCAGTGAAAGCATGTCAGTTTCTGTTCCTGTATGGAGGCAGAGGAGACAGTCAAGAGTAGGTCCAGGTAACTGATTATTGGTTTTCAATAACTAATTGTGTCATACACAGGACATGGAAACACTCAGATCTCACATCACAATAGTCACTCAGATATTTGATTAAAGTTTCTTTTTCTGTAGATATGATAATGCTACTTCTTTTTCCCTCTCATTGAATGATACTACTAGACAACATAGGGCAGAACAGACTAATTCATACGTAATGCTGCTTTGGCAAATGGTTACTGATTGCATATGTCCACAGAGTTTTGCTTCAAAGACAGTACAATCTTCTGAATGTTGACATGGACCACTTCCAAAAGCCTGTAATAAGCAGTGTGCGTGTTGAAACCTGCAAGTGAAAACTTGCCTGCTTGTAGATAGTCTCTCTTTGGCAAATGCTCAAATGTAGTTCAACTAATCTTGGGATTCTTTAAGCCCATTTAAAACAAAACTCGAGTGACTACTCATGGAATTACTCATACCTAGCACAAGTTCTTTCATTAAAATCTGTATCTACTTCTCACTTGTTCTAACCAGCTGGGTACTTCTCATCATCTTACATGAACCTATAAAATAAATTCTATCTTCCTCAGGTGCCCATCACTCTTTCTGAAACTGTTTTCCATGCTCACAGATATCTCTTAGGCTTTTCAGAAAAGTTCATCACTTTGGTTCCATTTCTCTATTTACCATCATGATCTTATTTTTCTATGTGAGTTATCTGCACAACACTCAACTCTTATTAGCTCCAGGATCTATTGGTAATTTGGACAGTAACCTAATAATTGTACATGACCAAAGGTCAATAGATATTTGTTAAGTTAATTTTTAAAGCAAAGTCTAGAATTGAAGGTTAACACAATAAAGTTGTCAGAATTACTTACAAGATTCTCAGGCTCTAAAGACTCTTAATTTTGAAAGAATGAGTTAGATAGCACAGTTATCTAGCTCCTAATTGGAAAAGGGGTTTGTGTTCTGCATTTAGACCAGGGCATTCAGTTGCCTCAAAAAAAGAAAAGACAAAGAGAAAGAAAGAAAGAAAGAAAGAAAGAAAGGAAGGAAGGAAAGAAAGAAAGAGAGAGGGAGGAGAGAGGGAAGGAAGGAAGGAAGGAAGAAAGAAGGAAGGAAGGAAAAGCTGGGCAAAGACAAAGAGCTATGAATGGAAATTTGTATCATTAACTGTAGAATCTACCTGTTTGTTTTTTTTTATTTCAGTCACAACATTCAAAGGCATGCATTATTTTTCTAGCTGAGTATTGTGAGCTATACTTGCTTCTGTTTCATATTTTCCTACATCATCTGCTAGTTGGCCTTTTTCCCCTGCACTCTCCAAGCTTCTGATTTTTCAGGGCCCATGTCCTCTATAGGCTTCTCAGTCTAGGAGTGGCACAAAGGTGTTGCTAAATAAGTACTGATTTCCTGGGTCCTCTGCACAGGGTGATCTGCACATGTTGAATTCCTGTCCTTGTCACGCTCACCTTGGCACCTATCCAGGAAGAGATAATATATATGACCTGATCTATCCTGAGTAGAGTGCTTTAAATCAAGAAAATGCATACTTAGTGAAGTTCAGTAGACCTAGCAAGACCCCAGGGTCAAGAACTCTTAAATGTTTATCCCAGTGTGAATTCAAATATATTGGAGAGTTTTAGCAAATCAATTAACCTTGCCTGTCCCTTCAAGCTTCCTATAAAGTACTGATAGAGCTGATTTACATAACCTAGTATTTTAACATAAAATTATAATTTTACTTAAATTGAACTTTCTGTAGAGAATGTTGTTGCCTAGCAGTTTTATTATTTCTGATTTTTATGGTGAGTTTTCACTTACGTAGATTATGCCTTCCTTTTTGACATGAACGTTTAGTTATGATTGAATTTCTTAAAGAGTATCTATATATTCCGTTTAAAATGCCATAAATTTAGAGTCTGGAAAGCTTCTTTTATCTTTCTCTCTTACTAGTAATCTAAAGTTGGGGTGAAGCTATTGAAGTAGAGGATAGTATCATGTTAGAACTTGGAAAATGTACTCCAGGAACTAGAAATGAAATCTTAATCAACACGTAGATTTAACATATTCTTTTAAAAACCTACATTGACTTGTCATCCAACCCTTACCCAGCTCTGGTTTAAATCAGCCATGAAATATATAACTTAGTCATGACCTTTCAGGAAATTTTTGCCTGAAATAACAGTATTGAAAATGTTAAACCAAGGTTAGCTACTAAAACCTACTGATTTCTTCTCCTATGTGTATGATCACACTCTTCCCGCCTGGATTCCTTTCTTTCTTTCTTTACTAGTGGTCTTTTGGTGTGCTTCTCTGGGAGCTGATGACGAGAGGAGCGCCCCCTTACCCGGATGTGAACACCTTTGATATCACTATTTACTTGCTGCAAGGCAGAAGGCTCTTACAACCGGAATACTGCCCAGACCCTTTGTGAGTAGGAGTCCTCACAAGATCTTCTCCCTCTCTCTTTTATATTCTGTACTTTGCCAGAATTACTTGCGTCTCAGGAATCTTTCATCACATTCTTTTTCCTCCCCCTGAAACAGGTATGAAGTAATGCTAAAATGCTGGCATCCCAAAGCTGAAATGCGCCCATCCTTTTCTGAGCTGGTCTCCAGGATATCAGCAATCTTCTCCACTTTCATCGGCGAGCACTACGTTCATGTGAACGCTACTTATGTGAACATAAAATGTGTTGCTCCGTATCCTTCTCTGCTGTCATCACAAGATAACATTGATGGAGAGGTGGACACATGAGGCCTGGGTGCTCCACCAGCACCCCCTCCCCTCGGAAAAACATCATTGTACTAGCATGAAGCAGAATTCATGCTTTCTTCAACAGTTTTCACTGCCTGGCCTTCGAAAGGTCATCCAATAGATTTTGCTTTTGCCAAAATGGCACTAGTGTGGGACTTTATATTGGTCATACTAAGGAACTTTTGAGCTGACAAAGCCTCAGAACTACAGGAGGCTTTGTCCACAGGTGAGTGGGGGCCGAGAGCTGTGACAACACTCCTGTCAGACCGGAGTCCAAAAGCTGAATTCTGGGTTGTGATTCTTAAACTCAAGCAGAGTCCCACTTGAGTTCACATGAGGATCTGGTGTAATGAATTCAGAAAACACAGAAAAGGTGGTCTCATCCAGGACAGCTGTGGCAGCCCCACCAGCAGGACACTCATTCAGAATTCCAGTGTTTCGAAGAACTTTTGTGGGTTATAGTGTCATGAATCTTTTCTTTATTGCTATTTCACTCACCCCTTTATCAGACATTCCTTTTTAAATTTTTGTATACACATTCCTTTGGTTGAAGGAAATCCATAGACGATGCACTCAAAGTTTCAAAATAGCATGACCTAAGTGTGCTTATAAAGTAACAGGGATATTTATGTATTGTACATAGATGACATTAAAAATCCATAATATAGCTGGGAGCAGTTTTAGTTCCTCGGCCAAATATTTACTTGTCATTTAAAAATCAACCATTGTAGAATGATACCGTCTCAGTCTAATGAATGTGACCATTTAGACATTGTGACTATGGGTTTTTTTTTCTGCTCTTCATAAATGACAAGTTTGAAACTAAACAATTTTTGATGATAAATATTTTTAAAGGTAATTCAGCATGTTTCTAAAGCAGACTACAACCAACTGAGAGAATCACTGTTCCAGGCAAGGTTCATGTGTAGAACAAGAAAAAGGTTAATGGGCTAGAAATAGTTACTGCTTCAGATGGTAGCTACCCACTTCATAAACAACTGGAAACCAAACTTTTAGGGAGTCCCACTGTGTATTAGGTCATGCTTTTTATTTACCAAAACAGACTTGCTAGGCACCAGGGGTTATACCTGTAATCTTAGCTTATCAGGAAGCTGAGACCTGGGGATCTCAATTTGAAGCCAGCCTAGGCAAGAAATTCTGTGAGACTCTTATCTCTAACTACCAAAAGCCAGAAGTGGAGCTGTGGCTCACATGGTAGAGCACCAGCCGTGGGCAAGAAAGCTAAGGTACTGAGCCCAGGCCCTGAGTTCAAGTCCCAGTACACATCCACATGCACACACACACACACACACACACACACATACACAAACACACACACACACACACACTTTCGAAACAAATAAACAGAGGACAGCTGGAAATCCTGGATTGTAGTTATTCTGAACAGAACTTTTGGGATGTTTTGTTCCGTGGATTTTTGTGCTTTCTACTGTACAGTGCATGTGGTATAGGTTACTCTAACTGGTTTTTCCAATGTAAACAGTGAAAGTATTATATTTTTATAGAAATGTTTATTTTTTATGATATAAAAATTTTGTTAGGCCACGCACACAAAGTACTGTACTGTGAACATCTCTGAAAAGGTATGTCCGACTGGGAATCATAGTGACATGATTTCAAATGGCTGTAAATAGTGATAAGGAAATGTGGTAATTGCCAGAACACCCCACCCTCATTACATCACCAGGACTTAAAGCCAAGGGTTAATAGAGCAAGCTATGACAAGTGTGTGCTATGCTAAAATCCAGTAGTTTAGTTTGGCTGTTGTTGTAGGAAAATGATTCCAACCAAAGCTCTTTGCCAATGATGGGACTTACCAGGAAGACACAAAGAATTGTATTGCAAAGATACTGCAGTTCCCATATTACTACTTTAAAACTGTGAAGAGTAATACTAATTCACAGGCTATTGTAATGATGGATTGCAAAAATAAATAAAACCTACCATTCTGCAGGAAGAAATCACTGTCTCTATAAGAAAACACATCAAAGCTGGGCGCTGGTGGCTCATGCCTGTAATCCTAGCTTTGGGAGACTGAGGTCTCAGGATCTTAGTTCAAATCCAACCTGGACAAGAAAGTCTGTGAGACTCTTATCTCCAATTAACCACCAGAAGTGGCGATGTGGCTTAGAATGATAGAGTGCTAGAGCCTTGAGCAAAAGAGCTCAGGGACAGTGCCTGGGCCCTGAGTTCAAGACCCACAACTGACAAAGGAAAAAAAGAAAAAGAAAACACATCAAGAATAGAAGGAAGGCAGGCATGATGGCCTCCTTATAATTTCAGCAGTCAGGAGGCAGAAGCAAGATTGTAAATTCCTGGGCTATGTAGGGAGATTTTGTCTCAAAATACAACAAAGAAAAACAAAAACCCAATCCAAAAAGAGCTTGTGGAAACAACCCACTAACAGGACTGCATACCTGTATATACATGTTCCAGAAAGCTGCAATGTGAAAATTCATGTTTTCTATTTATGAACTTTTCTAGGTTAATGTGTCTGGACAGATTGTGGGAGTAATTCTTCTAAGAATTAGTTACTTATCACTGCCTATACCTGCAGTTGAGCTGAATGGTACTTTGTATGTTAATAGTTGTTGTTCTGATAAATCATACATGATAAAATAAAGTGATATGATGTCTTGTATATGGAGAGTTGGTTATTGCTAGTCATGCTTGATTACCTACCCCATTTCCATAATGACAGAGGAAGCCTAAGATTGATTTCACCTGGCTCCATCGAACTCATCTACAGATGAGAGGCTTAGCTACGTTAATGCACTGTCAGTAGCAAAAGGAATTTGCATCCTTGAATCTCTGGAAATCTCCCTCTTCTAGGAGAGGGAGGGGTTGCCAGGAGTTACTGAACTTCCTGTATTTTTCTGACACTCTTTCAACTGCTAAAACACTTGGTATTTATTTTAGTTTAGCTCTTTTCTCCAGCAGGTTATATTCTTGTACTGAAAAAAAATATAACAATGTAGCTGCAACCTAGGGTTAGCACAGAGATCATTATCAAGTAGAATCAGTCTTGCCTTTCAAAATTATCCTTTTTGGTTGAGTGCTGTGGCTCATACTTATAATCCTAGCTACTCAGAAAGCTGAAATCTGAGGATTGTGGTTCGAAGTTGGCCAGGTCAAGGAAATGATACTTTTATCTCCAATTAACCACTAAAAATGTTGGAAGTAGAGCTGTAGCTCAGTGGTAGAATGCCAGTCTTGAGCAATAAAGCTAAGGGCTCTGAGTTCAAGCTCCAGTACCAGTACACAACACGTGTGTGTGCATACACAAATACACAAATGACCCTTTTCATCTACCCAAATGCCTGCTCTTCTTAGCTGCCAGTTACCAGAGGAACCACTTTCAGACGATTTCTACATATTGTTGCAATGTTAAACTCAAAAATGACATTTTAGGCATCTAAGAACTGGGTAGAACTTGGATTTTTAAGTGTATGCTTGCAAAATACAACGGAGGCTACCACTTTACATGGTCAAACTCTCTCCCAGCTAAGACATGCATTCCATAGAAGTTCAATCAGTGTTATTTACCTTACAAACACAAAAAGCCCATCATCTTTAGATTCCTATATCTGACACTTAAAATTCTCAAATAATTCCTGAACTGAAACACCAGTTTCCTCTCCTCTGTCAACCATTCTGAACCACCACAGGAAAAGTGCCTGCCTATATTGCTCACATGACATTTGATGAACACTGCCATTCGGCAGAGGGTAAGAATCTTCCAGGGAAAGAGGGTTATAAAGATATCCTTTACAAAGTTTTGCTTGATTATTTCATTTCTAATGACCTTGTGAAAGTGGATTCTTCATTTAATGACATAGGCATCATTTATATTTTTACCCTCTGTACTAGAGGACAGATTCCATCTTTAAATACAGTGGACAAAACCAATAAAAGTACAACAAATCTTTTAATAGTGACATCTTGCATTGTTAACCTACCCAATTTAGTTCAGGAAATACAGGGTATTTTATCAAAGAAAATGATACTTAATTCACCAAATATTTATCAAGGAGCTATGTATGTCAGACACTATGCTAGAGAGTGGACAGGTAAAACCATCTCCAGGGAAGTTAATGAAAGAAAAAGATAAAATTGCATCATAAGTGCATGTTAGAAGTTTGCATTTCTTGGATTTCTGTCTTGAGGAAGTATCACGATTAAAATACATAAAAAAGTGTTGAACTTGGGCAAAAAGACGAAGCTCTGACTCATCTTGGACTACACACACATTGAACCTCTCTACACCTAATTCCTCACCTGCCACATAGGCTCACCCAGCTCTTCTCACTCAGTTGAGGATTAAAGAGTGTGCACAGCACCAGGTGCTACACTATGCCTCAAAGACACCATCATCATCGTCATCATCATCATCATCATCATCATCATCATCATCATCATCATCATCATCATCAATAGTTTTGGAAAAGAAAAGCCCATATGAAGGCAGCTTGTAGTTAGCTTAAAATAGGATCTTGTAGATGTTTAAATCCAAATCTTTAACTTTCTTAAACTTGCACCTGTAATTCTACCTCATCCTTGCGCATTGATGGGTGAGACCATGAGGGTGGCTGATGGGACAGTGACAGACATGGGACAGTGAGTACAACATACCTGAAGCTCCAGCTCCAGCTGTACCTCTACCTTTTTCTTCTTGTAATCCCCTACCATACTTTTAGTTGCTTTTCCAGTGATTCGTGTACCTCTACCTTTTTCTTCTTGTAATCCCCTACCATACTTTTAGTTGCTTTTCCAGTGATTCGTTTCCTTTTATTTCTTTTTCAGTCTTCAGAAATAGAATCCACAGATAGGGAAAAGAGCAGCCAGCCGTAGTTCTTTTCCCGTGAAGGAGCAATGACAGGAGAGATGACACCACTCAGTGCTGATGCAATCTAGAGGTTATTAGTGTTCTTCACTTTTCTCAGATAAGTGGTCAGTGATAATTCAGGTTCAGACAAAAGGAGTCTAAGATCTATACTATTTAATTAGTGCTTTATGTTTGGAAGATAAGGAATGTTGCATAAATATTCTCATCCACTCAGATGACTGGATCTATACAGGAAATATGTGGATTGAGCCATTCAGACAACTTCAAAATATTTAAATGTATGTAGACATTATGCCTGAAAGGAAGAAACACTTATTCCTGGGTTGTTATTGTTATTTTTTCCTTTTCAAAGTTGACCTCTCCCCCGCACACACACAGTGCTGTTTCAATTCCCTATCTATCAAAAATCTGAAAAGAACTTCAGTCATAAACGAGTGAAATATTTCGGTTGGTGAATTGAAGGTAATAAAATGGAGCCTTGTCCATACTGTCCTTTGTTGTAAATTATACCAAAGGTCTAGATTACATCAGCCAAAGGTATTGATCACAAGGCTGAGAGGTTTATAACTACTATTGACTTACCATGTGACCCTGGAGCAGAAATCTAGGAAAGCTGCAAAAGCATACCCACAGTAATGAAAAGTCCATCATTAATAGGAGTTACTGTCCTGTTTTCCAGCTAGTACTGGATAAGCTCAAAACAAATACTAGAAAGAGAAGGAATTTCCAGCTTCTCTATTTTCTCTCTTGGATGTGCCTGAGCTACTCTGATTAATATGTTTTCTGTCTTATCAGTACAAATCATAGGTTTGAGAAGCTGAAATGAATTAGTTATCCAGCACATAAAATTGTACTTAAACATCCAAACAGCATCAAATCTTTTTATTATTTTCATAAAGAGCTAGAGTTTCCTATATGGAGTCATTTAGAATAGGTGTGAAATTCTCCTAACAAATTAAACCCTACTTGGTCAGCATTGTGAAAACCAGAGATTATAAAAAGTAATTAAGGAGTCATGCACTGGTGGCTCATGATTATAATCATAGCTAGTCAGGAGGCTGAGATATGAGGATCATGGTTCAAAACCAACAGAAAGTCTGTGAGACTCTTCTCCAATTAACAAGCAACCCCCCCCCCCAAAAAAACAAA